GAACCAAACTTGCATGGATGATGCATCAAGGGACGAACAATCTCAAAACTTGCTTGGGATGCTGGATTTGACTTACATTTTCTGAATGAGTGTCTAGTTTTAAGTTTTCAGATAAGTCCATTCCCAAGTAACTGCAAGCCCTATCAGACCAAAATTGCATAAATGTTGCATCTAGGGATGCACACTCCTAGATTATTACTTTAGTGTGGGACTTTGCCTTACTTAAAGACAACATTCGTTGAGGTGAGCTCTGTAATCTCTGATTACCTATGTTTTGTATAGTTATCATTTATTCTGTGCCTAAAAGAATTTGAGCAGAGACACTAGTATGATGAATTTTAAAAATTTGAAGTAATTTGAATCCTCTCCACCCAAGTATACTTTTTGACAGATTTGATTGAAATTGTTCCAGTGGTTCCTGAAAAGTAGAAAATGTGAAAAGTTGACGATGAAGCCTACAGACAAGTTCAAATTTTGATCAAAAGCTCACTTGAGTCTTTGCATCAGGTGAGCTAAAAAAAATGGATGACGGGAGTAGCCTGAATTACTTATGTCTTAAAAGAAGGTGTGCGAATAAGCCGGGAAAAATCCCTGTGTTCAACAAATAAGAATGGGAAAAATAGATCTCAATTATAACACTTTCTTTGATATTTCAAATAACATTAATGTATACTTTATGCAAAATGTACAAACTTTGCAACAATCTCACAAGTGTTAAATTTTCATCTATGAAATAGAATGCCCTATCTTCTCTCCTTTAACAGTTAACAACAATAATAAAATTTTTGAAAAGTAGGTCAAACTTGAAGGTCAGGGTCATAGGGTCAAATATCAAAGCTCATTCAGAAACTTCTTGTCACAGTGATGCACTTGTCAAATATGATTGTCCTTTCTTTTGTCATTCAAAAGTTATCACCAATTTTAAAATTTTAGAAAAGTAGGTGAAACTTCAAGTGAGGTCACAGGATCAAAAATCATGAAACATTTGGAAAGGTTTTGTCACATGTAATGTACATGTAAAATATGAATGCCCTATCTCTTCTCAAGTTATGACCAAGGAAAAAGTAATTTTAAAATTTCTGAAAAGTAGGTCAAACTTCAAGGTCAAGGCCATGGGGTCACAAAATATTAGTATATTTAGAAAGGTCTTGTCACAGGTAATGTATACATGTTATATATGAAAGCCTTATCTTTTCTCATTCAAAAGATATGACCAAGGTTAAAGTTTTTGTGACAGACAGACCAACAGCTAGACAGACAGACATACTGACAGATGAATGAGATTTATTGTCCCCTCGCTTTTGCAAAAGTGGTGGACAAAAATACCTTATCTTTGTACATAAAATGTTCTTCAAAGACACTTATGTGGAATCATCCTCAGTTAGTGTAGATTTAAATTTGTTCAAATCATGACCCTTGGGGGTAGGGTGGGGCCACAATGGACGAGCAAAGTTTTACATAGAAATATATAGGAAAAATCTTTAAAAGTCTTCTTCTCAAGAACAGCAAAGCCATGATTAATCATATTTATATGGAAGTGTCCTCAGGTAGTGTAGATTCAGATAAGTTCAAATCATGACCCCCGGGGGTAGGGTGGGGCCACAATGGATGAACAACGTTTTACATAAGAATATATAGGAAAAATCTTTAAAAGTCTTCTTCTCGAGAACAGCAAAGCCATGATTAATCATATTTATATTGAAGTGTCCTCAGGTACATGTAGTGTAGATTCAGATGAGTTCAAATCATGACCCCCCCAGGGGGTAGGGTGGGGCCACAATGGATGAGCAAAGTTTTACATAGGACTACTTAGGAAAAATCTTTAAGAATCTTGTTCACAAGAACAACAAAGCTATGATTGGTTATATTGATATGGAAGCATCCTCAGGTAGTGTAAATTCAAGTTTGTTCAAATCATTACCCCTGGGGGTAGGGTGGGGCCACAATGGACGATCAAAGTTATACATAACTAATTTCTGCTTTTTTGCTAACCACAGTGCTCAGGTGAGTGATGTGGCACATGAGCCTCTTGTTTTATACTTCTATGGATCCTGTACAGTGTTATATTATACTCAGGTGACTGTTAGGGCCCTTGGGCCTTTGTAAATGTATAATTATATGAAACGTTTTTTAAAAAAAGTTTTTAATGGTCAGACACTTGTAAATAATAAATGAATACACATTACACAATACTGAAAATATTTAAAGACCAGAGACAAATGTTTGGGAATCATGCTGAATTACTCTGAGTAGCTGCCACTTCTTGCTGAAGCACTGTTGAATGTATTTCATTGTAAAAACTGGTGATACAGTGAAAAATTAGGAGTATAGTAGTAATAGCACTGACATATACACGCAAGTTTCTTCCAAAGTTCCAAAGTTTCTGCAGATTACCAGACTATTTTGTTGACCCTTGATTGTCCTATTTCTCTTGTTTGAAGCAATACAGCTTCTTTTATCAACTTATTTTGCTTTAATATATAAAATTTTATTAAACTGCAATTCTCTGGATCCTTTACAGGGTTGTATTATACAAAGGTGACTGTTGGACCTTGTTTGACCAAGAAACTGCAGCAAGCATGAGAGTGCATGAAGGTTTTTATTTGTTTGTTCCTTTTTTGAAGTCATCATAGTCCTTTTTCAAATAAACCGCTACACAAACACCCATTAAGTATAGTAGATTTATTAACTTGAAATGTGGTATATACAAAACCACATGACAAAATGTCACCAATAACAATGGTTTTATGGAGTGGTACATATATTTTGAGACCACTTATATTTAGCAATAACAAGTAGACTTGGTTGCAAAAACAAGACAGACAAAAATGTACACGATTGCTGATACATACAAGTACAAACCTTCATAAATGTCATGTACAACCTACAGAAAATAAGGTTTTGAAAATAAAGTTTCATTTACTGTGGACTTTCAATGCCCAAACAGGTCAAATTTTTAAAAAATCGGTGAATACAACAGCCCTGCAGAATTCAACCAGTGATGTTTACAAAATGCCTTTGATAACATTGATTATTGCAAGTTTTCCATCACTCTCTTCACAAACACATAAAATTAAATACCAGATGAACAGACTAAACACGTTTTTACCAAACATACTGGCTCAAGATCCCGAAAATTACAGAATTGTCTTCTTATTCACGATTTTAGCCAGGTGTACGAGCCTGGTCTTATTAATTGGACAAAAATTCACACTACATGCTGGGTCTTTTGCACTAAAAACATTAAGGATGAAGATAAAAAAGTGAAAGTCTTGATGAAATGTAAAATAATAATGGGGAAAAAAAGTGATGGATGGTAAAAAAAAAAGATTGAATTGATGAGAGTTCATATTCACAACCTAAAATTTTCTCAGATATACATGTTTAAAAATATACACTGAATCTATATATACACGGTAAGTTTCATTTTTACATAGTATTGATTTCTTAAAATATGAAAATTCTCATTATCTTACAACCATTATAATAATTGCAGAAAAAGTGGTCTAAATTGTACATAAAATATTAGTTTTAAGTGATACTTGTAATTAGAAATGACAACTATCCATCTAAACATATATTAAAATTTGAAAATTCAACTTGATGGAGTATGATATTAAATATATTTTGATAATTTTTTTAAGATACATACCGGTAATCACTGAGATAAGATTTCTGGTAAATGCATTCTTTCACACTGCCTTGTATGAATATCATATTTATATATATACACATATTTACAAAAATTTCATAGCAAAATATACACTTCAAATGTGTGGGACAAACATATCTAAATCTTATCTCTTTATTGTGACATAATTTTGTCAACAGTTATAGGCATTCATGAAAAATACCACTTTTTATTAGTAAATAAACCATTATTAAAACTACATATATATGCACCAAATGGAGAAAAAATCCATATCATCTCACTAAGAAAGTCATTTGGAAACACAACTTATTGCTTATACATTTCAGATTCAGATATTGGAAATGAACACAGGTTTTCAAGAAAGACTTTTTCCTATTTCCATCATAGAAAACTACATTTTTAAATGCATGCTTTATGGATTGCATTAAGTAATAATGATTATGCTGTATAAATTATGGAACAAACTTTGTTGTCTTAACATCCCCCACCCCCCACCCCAGTCAAAAAAAATCTTTTAAGTACATAAACTTCTCCAATTTTCAAAGTGCCAGTAAGAACGTGTATGCAGAAAAAAGATAAGCAAATCTTCACTGATGTATGTCTGTAATACTACATGTATGTTATTTGGCAAAGAAAAGACCAGGTATACAGCAGTTATCAGTTAATGGGAGAAAATAAGAAAAGATAGATAATCACTTTGTATTCAAGATGTCAAGGCAAGAATATGACCTAAAGTATATATGATAAAAGAAAATCTAGATGTAAAGCTGATATCTGCTTCTTGTGCAATAATCATACAGTCGTAACAGAGTTGAAACTACTGGCCTGAATATTTGAGACAGAAAAATGGTTGATATATGTATTTGTCACTTTAAAAAAAAATGCTTAAGACTTCACCACTGAATATTAAAGTTTTTCATCTATTCTTAATTTTTTTTTCAATTTAAAAGTACATTAAAACTTCTCATCCTAATTTTTTTCCTAAAATCAATCTGTAAGTACCTTCCAAAGAAAACATGGATTAAGAAGTCTTTTATTTTACATTTTTTCTTTACATTTTCAGATTTTGAAAAGAACATCATGTTTTAATGCACTGTGGTGAATACTATAATTAGTTTATATATGTTACCAGATAATGCATACTTTAAAATGTAGAACTTGCAAAATGCAATGCAAGACACAGAGACAAGGCAAACCAGTAAATACACCTGTACAGCCAGCTGTCATTCAAGACAAATTGTACCCCCCCTTCCCCCCCCCCCCCCCCAAAAAAAATACACAAATTGAAATTTTTCAAAAAAAAACAAAAAAAAACAAAAAAAAAAAACTATCAAAGTTGTTCAAAAATTTTTGTTTACCCAGGAAAAAAAAAGAAGAAAGAAAAAAAATTCCAATGAACTGTAACAATTTTGTGTAAAAAGTGACATTCAAAATACACCGTATGTTTGAAGTCAAATGTATGCAATATCTAAAAGATTAATATTGATTATGTCATGTACGAAATAAAGCAGGTTTCAACTTTAAAATATTTGTATTAAAAAAAACTAATTTTCTTGTTTGGAAAAACAAAAAAAAATTACACAGTTTTGTGTCATTTGGTTTCTGGCCCTTTGGGGATTTTCTAGTTTTGTAGATAATGTACATGAATGTTTTCCAAAAATTGCAAAATTCAGTACAAACAAAATATACATATATGTATTACCTTAAATAAATTTGATATTTGTAGTAAATATTTGTATAATTAAGATATTCTCTATATACAGAATTCTTGTGTCGGGTAAAATTTACAGTCAAACAAAACAAAAAGCAATCATGTAGAAAACAAAGAAATAATTCACTAACAGAAAATTGGATTCTTAACCACCATTACACACTGACAGAGAACTGGTGGAGTTGCTTGCCCTTGGTACAATTCGAGTTACATGCCCTTAAATAGTTCTGTGGTTGAACACATGTGGCATTGTCATGAACTCTGATAGTCATGTAAGAAAGTATTTAAGAAGTCAAAAGAGGGGCGGGAGGGTGGATTAGAATTCCAGCACGTCAAAATGACCTCGTAGACTTCCTGGGGACAAATGTCAGGTTTTGGCATTCTGTATCCCTGCTGCACATGTTCAAAAGCTTCCTTTGATCCCATACCTACGATTCAAAAGTTCATCCATCCCAATTAAAATACAAGTATTTAAGTGAGCTTCTTGAAAAAATTATTGCCTCCATTTTTTTTTTTTAATTCATACATTAATTCAACATTATCTACACATTATCAATTTTAAAATGGTCTTTCAAGGTAGATGTATTTTTTGCATCAGATTTTTCCTTCACCATTTCATATTCTTTTGATGAAGATGCAAAAATCTAGTCTCTCTAAAAGAAAAAGTGTACCATTCTGGAATTGCAAAAATTACAACCAAAAAAAAAAAAACTTACCTTCATAAGGTTCTTTCCCATATGTAAAGATCTCAATCAGTACGATGCCAAATGTCCATACATCCCCTTTAGTACCATATTTGTTACACAGTAGCACTTCTGGTGACATCCATTTAATGGCCATTTTCAGCCCTGGAAAAGAGAAACCGGGTTAAGTACACTAATTAAGCCATATTAAATTTTCATGCATTTCAAATATCATATATCATTTTCAATCAATCTCTTTAATTTCCCCCAATATATACAAATAAGTTAAGGTTATTCTCTGCATATAAATTTGCTTGCACATACAAAAATCTGAAATGGAGTGTTTCCAATCCATAAAGATTTTATACACAAAGAAAAAGATATACATGTAATCACCCCCATTCCCTCTTGTACTGTATATTTTGTTCAATAATCTCAATTATCATCACTCAATAAAATATCAAAATAGTGAAGCCAACTTTAAAATAGTGTTTGTTTGCCCTCTTCTGACTCAGGATGAAAAAAATTTGGTTTGTAGGTAGGTGGGAAATTTTTAACACCATTGCTAAATTTTCCTATTTTCCAATATGCATAAAACATAAGTGTTTCCTGGTGGTTAAAAAAAGTTTTTTTTTAGCCAGTTGGTCGGGAGAGGGCAACCAAACAATTTTTTTAAAGATCGCCTGAATCCTGGAAATTTTTTTTTACCTCTTCTGAAGTTAAAGTCTGGGTCATCTTGCACCTTTGCCATTCCAAATCCAGCAATCTTAACTACATTACGTTCTCCCACCAAAATGTTACGAGCTCCTAAATTCCGGTGCACAAAATGCTCCTTCTCTAGGAATGCCATACCTTCAGCAATCTGAAATAGAGTGTACACAGATGTAAGTTAACAGTACAACAACCTAAATCATCAGGTATCCTCCTTCCATTTTATTACTGTTTGAATGCTTTCTCTTTCATAATAAGTTTACTAATTGAATTGTGTGTCTGTATGAAGTCTTGGGCATTCAGAACTCATCAAGAAATTTTTTTACCCTTTTCAATATTTGTATGAAAAGTACATGATCATCACACAGTAAATTATAATCAATCCCTAAAAATAAGAAACCCTTAAAACATTGACAAGTTTTATATTATTCTTATCAATATCCCATGTTTTAAAACATGTTTAAACAGACCAAAACATTTTTTTTTTCAAACCTGTGCTGCAATCCAAAGGAGCTGTGACAGGCCAAGTTCGTGACCTTTGCCCTCCCTCAGGTAGTTGGAGAGTCGGCCGTTAATCATATATTCTAAAAGGAGGTAGATGGGTGTTGTCTCGCTGGATACGCCCAGCAGTTTGATGATATTGGGGTGCTGTAGTTGCTTCAGGAGCTGGGCCTCATCTAAGAAGGCGGCTGAGCTAACAGCGTCTTTTTTCTGTATTTTTACTGCAATGTCTCTTGAACTGTGCCATCGGGCTAAATTAAAAAAAATTGTCCTTGACATGGTATAACTTACAACGATTTAATGCCTGTACAGTAATTAAGAATTACTTTATTTTTGCAATAAATAGAAAATGCAAGTTTTAGCTGTGAAATGAATATCTACTTAATACATTTGAAGGTTTGAAAGATTCAAAAATATATAGATCAGACTACACGTATACTGTTCTTAAGATTTAATAACTTTATTTCTTTAGCTAGCCCAATTAATATTTAAGAGGGTACTTTATTAATTATTATAGATTTTGCTCATATACATGCCATGAAGAAATACTATATCTTGCTAAAACATGCAAGTTTTTCTGCACTTATGATTAAATGTAATTTTCTTTCCAGGTGTGTTATTAAATTATTTTATAGAATGTCACATATTAAACACATTTTCCATGCTTTATTCAACCCATTTACTGTTTATTCCTTGAATGAAACCTTTATCCTACCTAGCCACACTTCTGCAAACTGTCCACTCCCTAACTTTCTAACACGTAAGACTGTATCTCTAGTACTGGCGTACTCGTCAGGTTTTCCTCGATCAAAAGCCCATATCAGAGACCTGGGCTTCATGCAAATTTGTTGAAGTTTGCAACAAAGACCATCGGCATTGTCTGCAGAAAAAAAAAGAAACCCCTAAAGATATTAATACAAACTAGACGTGACATTATCATTCTGTATTCTAAATAAGTCAATTCTGTATTGATACTAGTGGTAATTTTTTTTGACATGTATAATTTTTCATTATGTCCAACTATAAATTACATTTTTATGAAAGTCATATTTTTACTAGTATGTAGCCTTGCTTATAACATATTGTATGCAAGTTCTTATTTGGTAACTTGAAATAGACTTGTCTAATGCTAGCAAAGAATATCTAGTGGAACAATAGATTTAATTTCATTTTCATCTTCAGACATATCTGTACATGCATGTCATTTAAATAACATAATATTTTAATACCATTGAAGAACTTAAAGAGGAGAGAGAGGAAAATGATTACAAACCTGTGTAGTGATTAACCAATTCACTAAGTGTTTTGAATCTTTTCCGTGGTGTTATGAAGTAGCTTTGAAATGCGACGTGGGGGTCTCTCTGTGTGTGAATTTTATAATGTTTGACGATGTATCCCCTTAATTCATCACAGTCCCTCACAGACAGGGTGTACGTATCAGGGGCTGCCTCTCCCTGCCTCACCAGGTAAGTCCCTTTGGGGTACCCCGGGCTCAACAACCAGTCCTCCGAAGCTTGTCGAGACACCTTACCAAAGTACCAACTAAAAGATCAAAAAGGAACTCGCTATTAAAAACATTTTTAAAAACCACCTTAATTTCATGATCAAAGTATTTCCAAAATATATACCAATGCAATTGCATACAACCAGCACTGAACAGTCTTATATCCAGTAATATGAGAAAAATAAATTAAGATTTCAGTCTATTAATTGTTTATCATGTAAGTGCAATTTTAATTTTATTTATCAAAAACATTTTCATAACTGAATACATATACTGGTATGTAATTCTTAATTTAATTAATTTCATACATAAAAGCCATTTTGATTACTGGTATATTAAAAAGAAACTATATTCATTCAATATCATTCTCTGGGAATGTACTGCAGTTTAGTGTTAAAAGGTTAATCAATATTTAAAAAAAAAAACTATTTTAAGAAGAGCAAAGAAAAAAATCTTCCAGTTATACAAACACTCAATTCAGAAAAGTTCACAAAAAATGGAAACTAATTTCCCCACACCTGCCACATACTGGAGATATCACACAACAAAAAAAATCTGCAAAAATTAGCTTTTCCAGAATTATTTCCTGGCAATTTTAGTTAAAAACACTCAAAGCTTTCAATTTTTTCACAGTTCTCAAATTTGTTGCCTTTTTCACCTTTTTGCCTTTTTTTATTTAATTAAAGCAAACTTTATAAAAATCTTCACTTGTTTGAGTTATATTTAACTTGAGTTGATATTTTCTTCTTTCATGAAAATATACCTATTATACTTTATTTCTGCAGGTGTTCTAACAATATGCTCAAACAAAATTTTAGATCAATTTTTAACATGTTCACGGTGCCCAAATTTTGAAAAAAAAAGTTTATAAAAACTCTTTTTCTTCACTCAAATTTTCTTTAAATTTATCACACTATATCCGCATTAAAATCCTAAATTCACAGCAACACCATGTATAGATTTCATCAATCAAAACCCCGTCTACGTTTTATTAATTTTTTACAAGTATTGCTTTTACTTTCTCCTACTGCGCCTTTTATCCCATGACCTAAAAAAGAACAAGCAAGCAAAAAGTACACAGTTATGTCAATTAATTAATGGAATGAACTTGCAAGAAATTGCTCGAGAAAAAAAACTTGTCTTATCATCCTCCCAACGTACATAGAGTCTGGTACCGGTAATCAATTTCCGAACTGAATGCCCCCCGCAAGTCTTTTATCTATTAAGTTTTCGTTGTGCATCTTTTTCAATGCTGGCCCAGGTATATTGGCAGGCAGTAAACATCTTATATTTTACAAGCTCTTTGAGTTGCAGGTGTTTTTCAGAAGCTATGTAAAGTATTCCCGTGCCAAAACTCGCATCTAGCTTACATAAGCTTTCAAGAGGCAGATCTCTTGTATGAAATACTGTATGGAATGTTAAGAGTCAAATCTTTGAAACCTGATGATTTTTATAAAAAAAAAAAAAAAAATTCTTGAATTCAAACAGTGTATTTTGGCAGGGTTAGATCTATATATTTTATCATCAAGAAATCCAACTGCCCCAGTAAAATATTCAGGTCATGAAATGAAGGTTGTTAATCATGTTCCTACGACAAAAACTTTAAAAATCAGGTTACTAGGACCTATTTTTTTTTTTTTTTAATTTCGTTGATATTGTTTACAGTTTCTAAAGGAATAAAACATGTTACTTGATGTACCATGTACTAACTACTGTAAGGGATTACACTACCAAAATTTATTAATCTTTTAGTCGTAACAACAGGATCATAAAATGCTTCAGCAGCCACCACAAGAACAATATGACAGCTTTGTAGCCGAGATCAGGGGAGGATTTGGTGAGATATGGCGAGATAATTAACATAATGATGAAGATGAAACAAAACAACATATGGCACATGCCATCAACTTTTTATTATAATAGTTTTTTCTGGGCCCTTGTACATATTCAGATATATTATGAATGAGCTTGGATTGATGATGTGGTTAGAATGGGTAGAGGGCTTCTCCATCTCATACCTTGTAATTTATTAATATTAAATTCTAACATTGAAAAAAAAATTAATAATCAGGCAATAACTCTCTGACACCCATCATATACAAATGATTTATGGAATATTTTTCCACATAAATTTTCATCACTGATTTTTGTGTAGACTAATACATAATTTTTAACAGTTTTTGATGCATCTCTCTGTAGAAATACATCCTTATCTTTTAATACTGCTAAAAATTTTAAACTTCTGCAAGTTTGATGTATCAGTAGTGATTCCTGGTGAATTTTAAGACTTCAAGCTGAGTCTCGATATCTTGTATAAATACAAACTGAAAAACAAATACGAAATTTTCCATCCAGAATTTGATAAGATGAGGGATACAAAATATGTAGACCATTGATCATTTTTCGGTGACTCATCTAAGTAAACTTTGAAATCCTTAAAAACGAGATTCGATAAATTCCTTAAAATTGTCCGCATTTCATGCCAGAATCAAATCGCAGATAAATTATATTTCCCACATTCTTTGAAATTATTTCACAAAATTTATATCCATTTTGCAAATTGAATTCCTTATCAGATGACTGAATAGTGTCAGAATAAATGAAAAATATTCTTCGACGCATCAGATCAGTGGAACAGATAACTACATCAATTCTATAAACATACAGTTCTTTACATGAAAACATGAACACTGTTGATTTTTATGATAACCTTATGTCTTTCAATTGAAAAATTTGAAACCTTTGTCAACTCTTGAAAAGTTATCAAATTGTTCAAATAATTAAAATGATGTGGTTAAGCATATAAAGTAATGGATACAAGTCCTTTTGACTCCAACTTAAGCATTATAAAAAGACTTTTTAATGAACTGTATAAAACTTTCTCATTTAACCTATAAAACCAGTATAAATTCACATTTAAAATCTCTTAAAAAAATTCTTTCCTCTGATGAGCTTTCTAAGAGTATAAAACTTTAACATATACATACTCAAAAGTTCTCAGATGCTGTTCCTGGGGTGTGGGTGGGGCAAAAGTCCGAGGAGGGGAGACCAGGCTGTTACTAGTCTGCTGCTTCCCGGGGGAGGGACTGAACCTCCAAGGCTCCTCATCCTCTTCTAATGTATCGGACAAGGAGAGGAGTAAGAAATTATCCTGGAAATCCCCTATCCCCCTCTCTGGAATTTTCACATCCTTTCTGCACATGGGGCACGGAAAGTGTCCAGGTTTTTCCCCGGGATGCCTCCTCACATAGTCTCTCAAACAATGTTCACAAAAGCTGTGAAGGCATGGTAAAGCTTTTGGTTTGATAAAAGATTCCAAACAAATCTTGCAACTTAGAAATTCTTCCTGTAATTTTTCACGTAAACTTGATCGACTGGATGGCGTTTTGGCCATGGTTAGCCATTCTGGGAAAAAAAAGCAAATCACATTTGAGTGTTATTTAGTATTTCTGAATATCTAATATCTGTACATATTTAATATAACTGATGGGTGTGGAAAATATTGAAATAGCACATCAATCTGTGCCATTCTCTAGACCAAGGATAAGGCTAAAATACATCCGTTGCACCAAACAGTTGTCTCAGCAAAGAGGATTTAAAAATCTAAAGCATAAGAATGAAATTATATTAGAACTTTTTGTATAAAAATTAACAAACTTTTAAATATTCTTCATTCATAAACTTGAATTTTGAAAAAAAAATATTGGGTATGAAAAGCAGAGAAAACCACAAATAATTTTTGCTTTGGCCTCAATTGTTATATCACTGATGATCACCCAATACATTTTGGTTCTAATGAACTCTCAAGCTGCTCTTTAAAACCGACCCATTCTTTCATGTTATTTGCGTTTTTAGCCCCACATTGGAACATGTGATCAGTAAAATGCAGCGGATGATAGGGTGATCTTGTGAACATCCTGCCCATTATCTTAATTAAAGTTCAACCACAATGCTGTGAATTTCATGGGGAAAATTCCAGCATTTTGATTGTTTCCGAAATTATCACTTCTGTTGCTAACTCCTTGTTACATTTTTAGCAGATATTTGATGACCCTCCGATCATTATAACACTGATGGGTGCACTTCACTCCATAGAGACCCAAGACAGTTTTGCTACCAAAATTAATACATCTTTTGTAACATAACAAGCAATTCCTGTGCTTTGAAGCTAAGGATTTGTAATAGACTATGGTACAGATTGCCTTTGTGATGGTGTGATAAATTATCATAGATTGTCGTATTCAATGTATCATTAATTGAAATGGTCATCAAAATGAGTTTTGTTTCTAATGACTTCATGTTTCCAAAATGATTTTCTGTACATACCCTTTAAACATTTAAAGATCTAATCTATGGTTTATTCTTGGCACAAAGTCTTTTTTTGTTATTTCAATGAATCTATGGGTCACTTTCAATTTGAGGATTATGTGAATAATGTTCTTTCTTTATGAACCCCTGCAGCTATAAATATTTAAAATATAGATCCTGGCATAAAGTTAGTACTAATTCAAGTTTCAAAATTATCACCATCTTAAAGTAAGCTTTATTATTTTAACAAGTAATCAAACAAGATGATTACGATTACCCACATAAAGACAAGAATTTCATAAGCCATTTCCTGCAAAGGGGAAAACATATGGCAAGCCTAATTCCTAACCACACGTAAAAACTGCATCAATTAAGCACCAAGTTATGTGATTGAAAAATCCATATCTTTTTTGTACTGGTAATGTTTAGTAATATGAAATTCATTTCTAGTCAAATGCAAGATCAACATTTAGGTGCAAATACTGACTACCTGGGATGAAAGTCTTTTTCTTCCTGCGTAGTTTTGGCATAGTAGAAAATCGTTCCAATTTATCACAAGGTAAACTTATCATAGACTTTTCAGTCTCTGATGATATCACATCATTATTTGACCACCTTCTGATCTCACTGTCTGACCCCCTGACCCCTTCTGATGACCAATCATCACTGGTCTTTCGACCTGACAGACGAATAACACACTTATCAGAAAAGTCCTCTTCCTTATCCACAAAGTTCCAGCGAACAGACTCCGCTGATTCTTGAAAACACAGACTTTTCACTATTGTATCACAATTAGGCCCAGTCCTGGAATCTCCTTTAGTAAATCCATCTTCTGACTCTGACAAACTAAGCGGAGCCTCTTGAAGTAGATTCACTTTGTCCCCCTCCAAGGACTTTCCCAAGCCCATTAAGATTCTGCCCTTCTCTCCAGCTTTTCTTACAACATTGCTCAGCTTGGCTTTACATTCTCTTTTTCTTCCCTCCATGTGATTAGAACAAGCAATTAGAAGAAAAAAGAAGTCTTAAAACAGCGTGGCTTAATCCTTTTTAAGCCTATTAATCAGATTAACGCACTAATCTTTGCTGTTCCATGGGTATATCCTACCCATTCTGAAAGTTGTTAATCCTCATATCCTAATCACCTGACCAAACCACGTTTTGGGATTGGGTCATAATAGAGAGAGAGGACAACAGAAGCACAAACACACACACAGATGCTGAGAAGCCCAGAAACCAGGAGAACTTCCGGAGTTTTTCACCACACTGATGTTCAAGAGAGTTTTTGTTAGTGGAAGAGGATGCTCGCCTATCTGTCTATTCTGCTAACTCTTGTTTCCTGTTCATAATTACAGTGAGGCTCACCACAGGGTAAACACCTGTTAACAATCACCTCCAAAACCAAAATATCTCACACCTCCTCCTTGGCTAACAGATGGTGGTCAGACCTTCTGTGTACAACCAACAGGGAATATTATCCCCTCCCTTTCTTGAGCTGGAGTCCTGGGGGTAATGCAGTTAACAACTCCCATAAAAATTCTGGGAGTGAAAACACTTCACATACCTTCCTCCCCCTTTCCCCCCATTTCCTTTCATTTCCCCCTCTCTTCTCATCAATGAAGCATCAGTAGAGTGTAGAGGGAGCTTTTATGAATTAAGTACAAATGCCAGCTGGGGTAATTATGCCCTAGTTTTTTTTCTCCTCTAATTACAATTACAGGTATAAGGCATTTTATGACTTTGAGGTACTACAAATTCTTCTCTCTGATCTTAGATTATTGCATCATCTGATTGTACAGCAGTTAAAGGAAATCCCCATTGTCTAATTAGATGTTTAAGAACTTTGGAATGTCCCTGGAGCAGGGAGGGGGTAAACAGGAGCCAATCCCTCTAGCTGCATGCATTGCATAACTTCAACAAAACATCCAATAAATTTGCCTCTGTTGATGACAGGTGTGCAAATGCAAACTTTCCTATCAAATTTCAACACATTGTAAAACCAGGGATCAATACAACTGATTCCTTCAAGTTAGTTCATAAATTGTGTGCAAAATTTCAACTAGAACATGATCACTAATCATGAAAAAAAAATTATTAAAATTAATTTTTGGTATATTGATGCTTATACATGTATTTTATAATTAGTTTTAAAAAAAATGATGAAATGTATAGTAATTTCTAATATAGTAATTTCTAAATTTCCTTTTCAATTTTGAATTACAATGAAGCAAAAAATTTACACTACAAGAAATAATTGTGTATTTAATTCCAAAATCATTATATATGTGCACTATCAATAATTTAATAAAAAACTTTCTTCAAATTAAGATACCAGTTATTCTCTTAAGAGTAAGATGCATATCATACCTCACTTCAACTCGTTGAAGTCATTACACAGTGCTTCAATCTTTACAAATAGTGTAATCTTAATGATCGAGACAGTAGTTAAAATGTGAAGTGTCTTCAAGTACTATTTAGGAAGTTGTTTACAAAGTACGCAGATTTCACAATGTGAAACAAAGAAAGACTTGTTCAAAAACTGCAGAAATTTCATGAATTCTGATGTATTGTATGGGCACATCCCTTGACCATGTTGGTAGTCATGATTTAATGAAAACAACGTGACCTTTATTTCTTGAAACTGAAGTGATCTGAATGACATCTTTATTTATCCTCATGATTTTATTTTGCTCTTTGAAACTCAATATTAATGTGTTTCATAATCCCAACTTATGTATTAAAAAAAAAATCTTTGAATACAAAGCAGTGTAAATCTGAATATCCAAGCACTGTATTCCAGACGTAGAAAACGTTCAAATGTAGAAAATTTTCTTTGTTATACATGTATAACAAATACACAAATCTTGATTTAAGTGTTAATAAACTGATGAAAATGCAGCTACCTTGATATTATTTTACTCAACTTTAAAACACTGCATTGAGATTTGGTATAATAGTTAGAGAGCTAAGTTTTGTCTAAATTACGGTCCCTTCATTGATTCACCGGAAAAATCAATGTAAATTTTAATTTTCAAAAATTTATGGATTAAAGTTTAAGAATCATAGGTCTGGGTCTGATAGGCACAAAGGTACAATGATTAATACTAGCAGCAATTGAAGTTCACATTTTATTAGGGTTATAATCACATATTTCTCTTTCTTTTTTTGGGGGGGGGGGGGGGGAGAAAATGCTCTGAAAATTAATCATCATTTTAAATCAGCTTTTCCAGCCAAAAATTAGCACAAGTTACCTCTCTTTTTAACATACCGTAAGCATAAGAATTGCAAACTGAATCTTATTTTTTGTACACTTATTACACTTCTATACTAAAAATATACCTACAAAAATCATAATTTGTTCATAAAAGATTATGCAAATGATTATTTTACCAAAAATGAACCTTTGCTTTCATAAAACACATTTCAGTTCTATATATACTGTTGAAAGAAGAAATTGAGTCATTCCCCTTGCAATATGACTATACAATATGGCAGTTCCTCTTCATTTTTGAAGGGATTTTTAATCATTAATTTTTTGTTTGTTTTTGAAATATTTACCATGTTGTCTTATTAAAATATTACACAATTTTCTCAATATTTCATAAAAGACAATATCATATAAAGGCTGTTGTAGTGCAAAAGATGTCTTGCATTTTTTTCTTAATTAATGTCACTTCTGCGCTCCATGCACTATACATACTTTTTTTTTGTATTTTAATATAACATCACCGATTATACTGTAAATACTCCTTTTAATTACATTTAATCAGAAACACACTGACTTAGCAGAGTAAAATTTATGATCGTTAAATCATCTTCTCATAACAGACTTGTGCTATTTTCAATGGCATTTAGTTAGTATTTAGTATTATACATAAAGATGCACCTCAAAAGCAAAACAAAACAATGAAATCTGGTTCAGTACTATGCATAGTATAGTTACATGACTGGGATTTCATATTCCCTTTAATTAGAGTTAAGCCCTTTACTTTCTTAAAATAAATAAGAAATTTACTTACTTAAATGAGAATTCTGATTATATTTGACTTAAATTAGCAAATGTATTGAGAAATGGAACACTGTTCTGAAAGCAAAATTTGCAGATCCAATCCAAATTTTGTCGAGATTTGGTTTTTTTTTTTTTGTCAAGAGTAATGACCCTTTACATTATTCTGACCCTTTTTTAAAGAAGGTCCAATAATACATCCACAGAGAGAAATAATATGGAAAGTAATCATTTCAATGAAGTTAGCAGAACAAAATGCACAGAGTTAACTTTTGAAGAAATTTTATTTAAGAAGTATTTTGTATATTAATACTCAGGGCTCGACATTAACTCTTTTCCCTACTTGTCCATTCCGACAAGTGACAAGACATTTACTTGTCCGAACTTCAACTTCACTTGTCCGAAAATTTTTCAATAAAGATCTAATGCTGTCAACCAGGAAACTAAAAATAAAGTCCATTACATGTGCATGATATTATTTAAAATACAACAAACACATAAAACAAAATTTTATCTAGACTTTCTGTCCTGAGAACATAATTGCTGTCAAAATAAAACAGAATCCAAACTTCGTAAGACGGTAAGTATGGTAAGTTCCATGCCTTTGCAGTAGTATGCAGTTAGTGAACTTCCATCCCGATTGAGTGTGAACTTAATTACATATCGGGATGATTAGGAGGTTTAGAACAAAATGGCCTATAACTTTTCTGGTAAATATGCCAGGTGTCCTATAGTTACCGATTTCAATCTGAAACCCTGGGGATCGAAGTTTGGTTTCATGTACTGTTTCCGTCTTTAAAGTTCAACACTCGTTCTTTTTAATATTTAGAGACTTTTTTACATAAAAATGCACTTGTCCAGTCGGACAAGTGCCCAGCAATATTCACTTGTCCGTAATTTTTTTTCACTGGTACCGTACAAGTGCACAAGCATTAATGTCGAGTCCTGATGCTATAATTTATTAAAATTCTATCCTTTATCAAGTCTGTGTTACAAGGACTTCTTTAATAAAATTTATAAAAGATGTTGTAAATTATTAAATGAATGCATTCAATTTGTCAATGAATTTAGCATATGAACTCAAAATATGAAAAAGACAATCTTTATTTAGCATAATCAATTTAAGATATGAAAAGACAATCCTTAAAAATTGGGTCTTTTGATATGCTCAATATGCTTGTGTGTATGTACATTTTTATATATAAACCGATTCCTTTCATCGATTTCCCATGCACCCCTAGGACAAGAAATCCCACCAGCAGGTATGAATAACATTTACATGTAACAAAAGTACCTTAGGCACAAAAAGAAAGCCTCAAATATTACCAGTTTCTTCATCTTCAAAATTGTGATTGCACATGCTATGAACTCCCTGACACATAAATATATCTTGAAAGTAACCATTCATTCAAAAATTAACAAAACTTTTACTGTACTGAAGAGATTGGCATGCTCCAGGAAAACCCATATGATGAGATAGGTGAAACACTGGCATCATATGTTTATTCACAAGTTTTTTTTGTAGAAAAAGGTGCAGCTTCTAGGATTGTCCCTAACTATATATATAACTCTGCATGCACTCAAAACTAGCACATATACTACTGATATCATTAAACAAACACATAAATTATCTATGATTATCTATTTTAAAAAAAGAACTTCAAATTTGTACTTATTAATATGATCTGACAAGTCAATTAATCAACAATGTATGATAACACTGACACCCAAGTGATAGAACTTTAGGAAAGGTTTAAAAAAAGTTATTTCTGTAAAAGAATATTACAGCTTACTAAGTACTTAAAGTTTCTGACATGGTAGACTAGTATTTAAGGTACAGTCAAAGAAATTGGTGTCTCAGTTTAATAACTATTACAATGTATCTATTATCAAAAAACAAACAAAAAACTGATACAGCAACCACATTGTACTTAGAACAAAAGGAAACTGCACCATAATTAAGTCAACAAGTTAATGCATTTACTGGACAATCATGTAGTAAGTTAGGGTAACTGGCCTCAGCTAAGAATGTAAGTGAACAGGATAAAAGATTTGGAAAATAATACGTTTCCTGTAACATTCCCAGAAAAACAAGGGTTGGTCGGTAGGCATTTTTTTCTTTGGCTAATACAATCTCACATATTGACTTATAAGAAAGTTTCCAGTTTAAAACTTTTATTTTCACTTTCTATAATGCCAAAATAAATGGTCAAACATTCCCTGACTGAACTAACCAGGTGTGATATTTACAGTGGACACCCAACATGGCTGTCTAGCGGTAGAAAACGAAGTTCAAAAAGTTGTGGGGGAAATGCTAGATGATATAATAATGATCATTACTCTTCATATTTAAGGTGAATGTTGACTAGGATGACATATTTTATATTCAAATAAAGCTACAATTAACATTCTTGGTAAAAATTGCATCAGCTAATTGACTAAACACATATTTGGCATGGAAAAAAATTATGGTTCATGGTTATTTTATTTTTTATTGGGATCAAAAAATGAAAGTGAATCCTGATTTAACACATTGATAAACAAGAAAAATCTGTAAATTTGTTGAAGTTTTGCTTCGTTTGAACTTTAGTCGAAATATTTTTACACGACCAGTCAGGCTACCATGAAGCAAAATAAACTAGACCAGACCTAACTTTTACTAGTTTGAGTCGGTCGGATGTGCCTTAATGTTGAGCCCTGATACATGTATAAACGATAACTTTCTCTGCTCTTTTTTTTAATAGAAAAGTTGTAACACCTAGAAAGTGATTTATAATTGACTAATAGTAACAAGTGAACCACAGTGGTCAATGTAATTCAACTGCACATTTCTTAGCTTTTCATATTGTTTGACAAATATGATTTAAGATAAATTTGAAAGTTTAAAATCAATTAAAAAGTTTGCAATTCTAATTAACCACAGCAAATGATGGTGCTGCCAAACATTTACAGGCCTCATTTCCTTGGAAACTGTTTTAACACTGTTTTCAACTTCACATAAAATTTCTAGAAAAAAACATTTTATATCAATGTTTCAATGTCGTTCAGTTATCATGCTCATTGTTAGCTATGGGGTAAATAAATATTTTTGACAGCTAAGGACAATGAAAACTCTTAAATAATAGAGGTTTTCGTATACTTTCCAACCAAACTGTACCTAAATTGCATCGAATTCTATATCACCACCAAAGCCATCTTTGAAATGTTTGTGTAATTTTACAACTTATATGAAAATACATGAGACTTAATTACTTGTTAGAGATTTATTTAATTTAAAATTACTCTCATGAACATGTTATACATTTACTCATCAATGATGAAAATTTACAACAATTGGGAAATGTAATGCATCCATGAAACTTGTTATTATACCAGCAATGTTAAGTTAGTGTAAAGAAATGGCGCAGATGCATTAATACTTGTCTTATACATTCCTCAGCTTATGCAATTATGTCCAAAAGTTATCGTTAAACTTGTTTGCATGTTTTACAATGTTCATTCATTCTTCACAATGTGCTTGGATGTGTTACTACAACTCTTGGATTCTCTACAGCAAATTTTGCGTATTTTCCCTTTCCAATCTCTTTAATTTTATTCAAACTGAAGTAAAACACGCGCGTAATTATTTATTGTTCTCAACAGGTGCTAGTTTCTGGTAAAATGCCAGTACCACTATGAGCACAGGAAGTGAACGGCGCCATTTTTAATAGTTGACATTATTCGTGGAATTCCTTGCAAATTGACTTGGTTTCTGGGTTGTATGGGGGATCATGATTATTAAAGATACTTACATTCATATATGTCTCTGTTTTGTATCTCTCCATCAGGCTATAATCACTTTGAGAGATCGTTCAGGTAGATTTATTATTACAGGAAGTGCACCTATCCCATTTTGTACCATGTGCGCATGTTTTCACCCGAACTTTTTTTAAACCGGAAATGGGCAAATAAAGGAACGGCGGATCCAATCAAAAGTCAACAGCAAGGTCAACTCCATTCTACCAAACTTTTCTCATATTGAACCTATCATAAAGGTTATAACGTTTAAGATAGGTTCAATATAAGAAAAGTTTGATAAAAGGGGAGATAACTGAACAAAAAAAATTTACTTGTTTACTTTGATCATAGAAGATAATATAAATTTTGATGAGTATCCCTTGTCTCTTAAATTTCAAGTTAATTGAATTAAAATAGGGCTAATATTCAAGTTTGATTTAGTGCCTCATATAGATTTTCCCATTGTTTTATTCTTTAAACTTGCACAACTTCATATTATTTTTGAAATCCTGCATTAAAAAAAATACTGGCATTAATTTTCGAGGCTCATTAAGATAAATTTATAAAATATGCTGTGGGTTAAAAAAATCACTTAGTATGATTGTATTAAATTTATCACAGAAACAAAAATCATGACAGTTAAAATAGTCTATCAAACCACAATATTCAATATATGTATGCAATTTTAACCCCCACCCCCCACCCCTTATAATGTTACTACAAAATACATGTATTAGCTTGCAAGAGAAACCATCTACATCCTAGACTTTGGTCTGACCATTCAAAAATGTTAGGTTTAATTGATTTTATAATACCATATTGTGTTCACTATTGATAACCAGAAATTATAATATTGAAAGCTCTTAATATTTTTTTTAATTTGAGCTAAAGAAAAATGTGAAATAAGATTTTTTTTCAAGAGAAAGAAATATATACAAATTTTTCATGTGTATTGCTTATTTGCAAATTGTTCAGTATTGAGAAAGATAACTTAATTTTAATCAAGGTCTAATTAAAACACAATAATCATACATATATACTTTCACTCTCAGTTTGAAAATTATAATTTATTAATATTTTCTTAATATAACATTATATGAACATACTTCTCAGTCATGCATTTATAACATTAATATCATTTTGCCCTTAATAATTAACACAATTCATCAATAATCATGATATAGGACTATTTGATTGCCTCTCAGATTTCTCTAAACGTTCACTGTTCCCACTGACTGAAATACTTTCATAGATATGTTCTTCCTGCTCTGAACCGTTACAATCACTCGTCTCTACACCATTTACACACGCCTGTCTACGACTGTCCCACGATGTGTGAAAATTTACTCCATCTTGTGCACCACCATTAATTTCACTGTCAAAATCAGCCAATCTTTCTGAAACTGGATTGGAAATTTTGAAAAAATTATCATTCATGCTTGGATGGAAAATGTCATCCTCAGTTTTCTTGCTGTGAAAAGTAGGTGGAGATTGCCTCAAATTTTCTTCTGCCATTGGCACACTAAGTTCTCTCCTGAAATCAACCATTTTTCCATATGATGCAAGTGAGCTCTGAGTGTCTGTTTTATCAAATTCACTGCTTTGCCTTTCACTCACTGGTCGCAGGAGAGCTGTCTGGCTTTCCCTTGTACAAATACAAAAAGACACTTAATTAAAATCTATGAATATGAATAAAGTACCGGTAATTTAGAATAGATGAATAATCAAAATTATGCAGTGATGTATATTTCCAAATTATGCAGACAAGCTATAATCTGGAAGAAAAGTACAGGACTGTATGGTTCAAAGGGACTGGCAGTCTTCATCAATGAAAGACAACTCTTATATTACTATGTTAATTTTTTTCTACTTTTTTAACTCATAAAACCCTCAGACATAGGGATGAGATCAAAAGTTCAATGTCCGACAAAAAATGAAATTCACATAGTTTTCACCAAGACCCCCCATTTTGAAACTAAATGTCATAAATGTTCAATCATCAAGTATTAGTATTTATTAAATAACATGTATTTCATTTGTTTCTTCATAAAAAGCAACATTTTAAATACCAATGATGTAAAGTCTCAAAGCAACATGCACTTTTAATTATTATGTAATTATCAATCATGACCTAGCATGTCCTCAGCTTTTTTGCTGTGGAAGGTAAGTGGAGATGTTCTCTATAAGGGTTTTCACATCATATAATAACAACTTGCAGCACTTTATTCCAACCTGTTCTCCAATATGTTTTTGATATTCTACACTAAATTAACTAAGGGCTTTAATTCTGGCCTTTCATTATCATGGGTTGTAATATTCTAGAATAATTTAACTTACAAAAATGTTCTAATTTAATCTCATAAAATCATGATTCACATACATGCCAACTTTTGAAAATTCCCATGGGGGATTTTGCGCGTGACGACAATTTTCAAAGCTTTAAATTCGCGACATTTTGTCATGAAAATAAATGTTTATCCCATTTTTTTTTTTATTATTTATAATATCAATATCACTTGTTAATACAATTTAAGAATAAATAATACAAACAAATTTTTTCCTTCCAAAATTCAAATATCCTTTGCTTTAATAGGTACCTCTCTCACTAAAGAAGTGATATCTGTTTAGTTTAACAACATTATGTTTGAAAAGACACAGAATTTGGTGAAAAATGTGAAAATGTACAACTTTCAGTTCAGTAAATTTTGTTGTAAAGTTTTAGAAATATATGAGGTTTTGTTACTGTACAGTTTCTGGGAAACATTTGTAAAATTCTCTATTTACATTTTACACAATTAGAATTTCCTAATTAGACATTAGATTGAAAGAAATATTGAAAAATTACAATGCACTGTGTGTGTGAGGGTGAGAGAGAGAGAGAAAGATAAGAAAATTTGTTTGTTTTGAAGTGTCATTTTATTCCCTTTTAATAAGTAGACATCATGATGATTAATTTAATCACACACACAAAACAAGTTGAAGAAATAAATTTACTCTTGAGATCATCAATTATTTAAAACTAGGATACCCCTATCCCAAACAAAAATTAAAATTGTTATAAACATGATGAACTTTTGCATAACATTGGCAGTGTCATGTGAGTATTCCGTTGTCATATTACATTGGGGGGGGGGGGGATTCAGTGTACTTGAGGGTATAAGACTTTGTTGTTTCATCTAAATTATTTTCATCTTATTTTAACCGGTAAACTTTACAATATCTTAAAATCAGCAGCTATGCTTTGTTGTTTTCTACTTTCGTTTTTAAAAAACGAAACATGGATTAATTCCGATTTTGTTGTTAGTTTATCATATCACTGTATTCAATTTTTGTTTTTAATAAAATGATATTTAATTATACCCTAAATCTATGTGTTTCACTATATGCATACCCCTTCTGACTGAAAAGTTTAATCCTCTAACTGCTCCAGGCTATGTTACCTGTACCTGGACAGCTGTGTGCGTTCAAGCGAGAAGTGATTTCCTGTGGCTAATTAACACCTCTGCATGCGTTAAATAAACAAAGAGACTAATCTGTGTGCACTGAATAAACAAGTCTGATATTCTAATCCCGATTGACAAAATATTGCGGTAGGGAAACTCAGAAAATCGGAAATTTTAGGTTGAATATTTTCATTTCGGGATTTTTGGGCAATTTTGCTTTCCCGATCGGGAGAGCGGGATTAAAGGGTAAAATCGGGAGGATCCCGCCTAAATCGGGAAAGTTGGCATGTATGCATGATGATGTACATGTATTCAATCTTATTTTTCATAATGTAAAGAACATGTAGTCTAAAATACTAAATATTATTCTAAATATGGTAATGATCAGTCCATCCTTATGCAGACTTCATATTCTACATAAATAATATAGGTAATAAGAGATTACAGAGCTCACATCAACGAATGTTGTCTTTAAGTAAGGCAAAGTCCCACATTAAACTAATAATCTAGGAGTGTGCATCCCTAGATGCAACATTTATGCAATTTTGGTCTGATAGGGCTTGCAGTTACTTGGGAATAGACTTATCTGAAAACTTACAACTAGTCACTCATCCAGAAAATGTAAGTCAAATCCAGCATCCGAAGCAAGTTTTGAGATTGTTCGTCCCTTGATGCATCATCCATGCAAGTTTGGTTCAGATAGGCCTTATAGTTCCTTGGAAATGAGATCTGCTCCAAAAACTTTAATATAGGGTTTATAGTTACTTGGAAATGACATATGCTCCAAAAACCTTAACTTGGTCACTCATCCGGAAAATATAGGTCAGATCCAGCATCCGAAGCCAGTCCAGTAGTGTGCATCCTTAGATGTATCATCCATGCAAGTTTGGTCAATATAGGGCTTATAGTTACTTGGAAATGAGACCTGCTCCAAAAACTTAAACCTGCTCCAAAAACATTAACCTGGTCATTCTTTAGCTGAAATTGCAGCATCTGAAACCTTGACTGGTACAAGGAAACACACTAGAAGCATCCTCCATGCATCCCTGACTAGTATAGGCCATAGAAGTACTTGAAAAGAAAACTGCTCCAAAAACCTTAACCTGGGACGCCGACGCCGAGGGTATTACATAAGCTCCCCCAACTTCGTTGAGGTGAGCTAAAAATGGTTTTAATCCCAGCCTGCATGTTTTGATATTTTGCATTACTTACATTTTTAACCTAGCCTGTTACCCAGCATGGTTTTGATATTCTTCATGAACATTTCTTACAGTTTTAATGCTAGCCTATTCTCCACATGTTTTTGGTATTCTACATGAACATTTCTTATGGTTATAATTCTAGCCTGTTACCCAGCATGGCTTTGATACTTTACATGAACATTACTTACAGTTTTAATCCTAGCCTATTCTCCAGCATGGTTTTGATATTTTGCAGTGTAGTTCTGAGATCTGGAGTCCCTAGTCCCAAGTAGAATCTCAACTGAAAATCAAAAAATAATTTACTTAAGGTTAATATTTTCACCAAAAAAAAAAAAAATATATATATATATATATATATATAAATTTTACAAAAACAACAAATTTACATTTTGTGTGATAAACTTCAAGTCTCAATATTCTGTGATCAAAATTTCTGAAATCATTGAATTCTTTAGTTATTGGTTACACATCTACATATATAATTGTACATCAAAAAGATTATGTGACTCAGGTGAGCGTTGTGGCTCTCTAAAATTGTTTAATTTCTCTGCATGTACATGTACTTGTAAATACATTTATGAAAGGAACTGTTGGGTTGTCCTTACTTTATAAAGGATCTTGTTTTTTTTTTTTTTTGCACAATTGAAATTACATTTAATTTAATTTTCCAAGTATATCATTTAAAATTGTTAGTATATTTTGTGTCTCCATTCAATTGGGTATACAAAAGAAAGGGAAAATTGGATGAATTAGCCATTGTTTTGTAGTTAATGTAATTAAAAAAAAAAACCATCACCTGGCTAATATTTTTGTTTAATGTGAACACACCATACTTAAACAAGGTTTGTTCTTTGCCCTTTGAATAGAGAGGAAACCTGAAAAACAAAATTAAAATAATGTATTTTAGGGGAAATAAATTTCCTAAATTTTCATTCATGAGCAAATTGCAGCAAGGTATAATTTTATGCAGTCATTCCTACTTTCATGTATACAGCAAAAAATGTATGAATTAACCCCCCCAAATTTTTCCCTTGAGAAAGTGGGTTATATGTCACTACTAAACATATTTAATTCTTACATGTTCTTTTATCCTTGACAATATTTTAGTCAAAATTGTCTTAATCTACATTTAAAAATTGTATTGAAATTCCATTTGATGTTTTTTCTAAAATTTTATACCAATTACAAAAACATTCAATTTTCCAAATATGTGAATGAATGGTATCACTTGTGAGGAAAAAAATATTTAGCTTTTCATAAACATACAATTTCAAATTGCTGTACAGAATAAGATAGGCCTTACACTCTCTCTTTATCCTCCAGTTTAGTATGGATGTGATCATGAATGGTTGACCTTGAGACTTGATGGTCCATGCCATACCTCAATGGAATGTCAAGGACACTTGAGATCATCAGCAGAAGGTGACAAGTGTAACCAAGGGAAACTGCTATCATATTGTCATCTTTACCTTTAAATAGACAAAATTACATAGCTGTGTAAATAAACAATGAATTCATCTTTAAGAAAATTTATTGTTCACAACTCATGTTAATTTAAACATTCTGTGTCTCAGTTCACAGTTAGGACTAAACAACTGCCTCTTTTACTGTCTTACTGTCTATGTAAACCCATTCTATTTCAGTTATCTTTGAATTTCTTTTTTGTATTTCTGAATGCAAAATACAAACTTTCATATATGCAGGAGATGTGTTCTATAGTTTACATTATTACCTTGAAAATCTTCTGAATTTGGCAAGCAAACATCAGCAATAAAATACTGTCCTTTTTTCTGAAATAAAAACCACATCCCGTTCATATACATGTACTGTGCTCTAGTGCAGTTACCGGTATATTTCAATGGCTTTCTACTACCACTATTTATTACAAGATATACAAATGACAAAATCTGTTGTTTTACAAATCAACCAATTAGGTAATGTTTGTTATAACAAGAGGCCCATGGGCCACATCACTCACCTGAACACTGGTTAAAGAAAAGCAGAAATCAGTTCAGTATTGAAAAGTTTAAATATAGAAGTGGTCCCAACCTACCCCAAGGGGTAATGATTTGAACAACTTGCTTCCATATTAATATGACTAAACATGGGTTTGCTGGTCATCCGGAGATTTTTTTTAAAAGATATTTCCTATAAATAACTTTGATCTCCTGTTGTGGCTCCTCCCTACCCCCAGGGGTCATGATTTGAACACGCTTGAATCTACACTACTTGAGGATGATTCCATATTAATATGATTAATCATGGCCTTGCTGTTATTGAGAAGAAGATTTTTAAAGATATTTCCTATGTATTCCCTTGTATAACTTTGATCCCTTGTTATGGCCCTTCCCTACTATTGGAGTCATGATTTGAGCAAATTTTACTCCCATGTATAACTTTGTTCCCCTGTAATGGCCCTTCCCTACCCACAGGGGTCATGATTTGAACACATTTAAATCTCCACTCCATGAGGATGCTTCTGTATTAACATGACTATGGTAATCATAGTTTTGCTGTTCTTGAGAAGAAGATTTTTAAAAATATTTCTTTTATATTCTAATGTATACTTTTAATCCTCTGTTATGGCCCTTCCCTACCCCCAGGGGTCATGATTTGAACAAACTTGAATCTACACTACATGAGGATGAATCTATATTAATATGACTAATCATAGCTTTGCTGTTCGGTTAATCTTAATTATCTTCCCTTGAAAGAGGACAAGGATCTTTGTATAAACAAACTTGAATCCTCTTGAAGTTTGTTTGAAATTGGCCCAGTGGTTCTGGAGAAAATGAAAATGGGAAAAGTTTACCATATCAACAACTATGACAACGACAGACAACAGGCAAATTTTGATCAAGAAAAAAAACTCACTTGAGCCTCTGGCTCAGGCAAGCTAAAAAGTCAGACTTTGAAAATCTACAGCATTCTTCCTCATCCTTAGATAATGCAAAGGTAGACAATGCCAGAAATAAAAATTATTCTCCTTGTAAAAATATCAACCTCAATCCAATTTGGCACATTTACCAACAGACCATGACAAAGTTCAGTTATAAGTGTTTAACATAACCTTCTCTAATGCACTCATATGTACAGTTTAAATAAATTTCAGCTTAAACATTACAATGAAATGAGAGTGATACATATATGTATACACATATAGAAGTGTATATACAAGAATATGTGTACCTCGGTGATAGGATAAATATAGGCAGCTAATTCCCTGATTAGTTGTTTTCTTCTGATAAATAGTTGTGCATTTTCTTTTATCAGCTTTTCCCTAAAAAAGAATGAACATAATCATGCACTCCAGCTCAAGTAATGTGTGCATAGATAAATATTTTTAACTTTAATTTTTTTCATACTTTGATGTTCTTTAAACCATTGCATTTTAAATTTGTAACAAAATTTGTTTTTGATTTTTAAAAAATCTGCAAGTAAAAATATCAAATGCTATCTGATATTTTCATTTGAGTTCATCAATCATGAACGTAAAAAGTAAGTAAAAAAGCTTTTAAGTTGCGGAGTAAGAGAATTTCCTTTGAGCACCTTGTCTGGTCGTAGTCCTTTTTCTTCTCCCCTTGTTCCCTCCACTTCTCTCTCAACTTCTCCCAATTCTTTTTCAGTGCTGTGTCTGTGAAAGAATGTACATGAAAATAATCATCTACAGATTTTTTTTAAACTTTAGTTTAACTGTCCATTAACAAAAGATTTGATAATTAAGTACAGTGAAAGTCAAAATTCATTTCTGAATCAATTACTTATATCATTTTGTTCCATACTAATATCTACACAAAACTATGTCACAATTTCATAATCTATGTAAATATGCATGATCAGATTAAAATATCTGGATAAAATGATAAAGCTATAATAGAAAACTCTCCAATTATGCAAGAACATGCCAATGTAGGTCCACGTGTAAATGTCCAGATTACAGTAACACCAAAGTCAACTTGCAAATGCTGTACATGAACACTGTACACAGTACCTTGTTCTTTGTTAGAGTTATGACACTGATCTGCTTGGTCCTTCATTTTATTGACAGATGCTGTCCTCCACATGACTTCAGAACAGAGTTGTTCCTTCTTGAGGATCAAGTCCTCACACTGTGCCCTCTTTCTTGTAGTCTCTTGTGAAGATAGTAACTTGTCTTCAATTGACCTTCGAACTTTATGCACTGAAGCTTGAGTTTGCTTTATTGCTCGTAATACAGTGTAAATTCTAAATGAAATGATTAGGAAAAGATTAGAATGGGTATGAAGTGCATACATATTCATATATATGTATCAACTTTCCCAGGTTTACCACTGCTTAATCATAGGTTTTTGCTATTAAATTTTTTTTAGATAAGATCACTAATGCATAATTTGCACATCTATCTTGGACTGCACATCTATCCTTGTCCAAGGTATCAGCTAACAGACTGGATTATAAGTGTATATCATTTACATGGTCATTAAAGTTTGATATACATGTACAATAAATCAAATTCAAAGTTAGCAAGAAGCATTAAAGACCATGATTTCCTATAATGTTTACCTTGATAGAGAGCTTGTACTAAATTTACCTTAATAGAGAGCTTGTTTACCTTGAAATAGACTAATCTTGGATACCTTGATAGAGTACGTGCCCGTACTATAATTACCTTTATAGAGATCTTGCACTATATTCACTTTCATGAGAGCTTGTTTACCTTGATAGAGAGCTTGTTTAACTTTATAGAGTATGCACATATACTTTATTTACCTTGATAGAGAACTTGTTAACTTTTTAGAGTATGTGCCTACACTTTATTTATCTTGATAGAGAGCTAGTTTAATATTTACCTTGATATAGAACTTGTTAACCTTGATAGAGTATGTGCCTATACTTTATTTACCTTGATAGAGAGCTAGTTTTATAATTACCTTGATAGAGAACTTGTTTACCTCGATAGAGTACATGCCTGTACTATACATGTACTTACATTGATAGAGTATGTGCCTGTATTATAATTACCTTGATAGAGAGCTTGTTTACCTTGATAGAGTACATGCCTGTACTATACTTACATTGATAGAGTATGTGCCAGTATTATAATTACCTTGATAGAGAGCTTGCATTATATTCACTTTGATTACAGCTTGTTTACCCAGAGATAGGTACCTATACTATATTTATCTATACAGAGAGCTAGTTTCATATTAACCTTGATAGAGAACTTGTTGACCTTGATAAAGAGCTTGTTTACCTTTTAAATAGAGAGCTTGTTTACCTTGATAGAGAGCTTGTAGTGTACGATTTTTTGGTGCTGGCTATTTCCACTTTTAAGAAACACTGATTGGTTAGTGACAGGGGTTTAGCAGCTGTTTCCTCACCAGACTTGCTTTGATCATTTCCAGCACTAACCTCCTGAAAAGTACAATTTTTTAATTCATTTGTTGCACGTGTACTTGTATGAATTAATGAAGGTTTGTTTTTTTTGTCCCCACTTTAAGTTTGTCCCCCACTTTCACTGAAAGTGGGGGATATTGATTTGGATCTGTCCATCCGTCTGTCTGTACATCTGTATTTCTGTCTGTCTGTAACACTTTCATTTCCACGCGATATCTCGAGAAGCCTTTGAGCTTTTGCAATGAAATTTTACATAACCACTCCTTATGGCCCAAAGAAGACCCCTATTGATTTTGAGGTCAAACGTCAAAGATCATGGTCATAAATTCAGTCTGTTTTCACACTTCAATTTCCGCTATATCTCGAAAGGCCTTTGAGCTTTTGCAATGAATTTTACAAAACAACTCCCTATATGGCCCCGCCCACCCCTCTCAAAGTGTCCTGCCCTGTTTTTGTTTTTTATTTTGGTCTTCTTTTTTTTTTTTTTTCAAAAGTCAATTAGAAATTTGTTGGCATCGATCATACTCAAAGTTTTAGAGTTACTCTCCATTTGTATTACAAGTCGTGTGGCACTATTTCTAGCACAGGAGCATGTGGGGAGTTAGTACATTTAATGCAGGTTAAAGGTGGACTTTATATTCTAATTACATCTATTAGAACTGTTTAGTAAAGGCTAAATTAGATGCCATGTGTTGTGTAAAATTTTGACAATGTATACAGTCATGTATATGTAACAGGAAAGGAGAAAATGTATGGCTGGACCGGGAATAGAACCCGGGACCCCTGCATCACTAGTCAGGTGCTCTACCAACTGAGCTACCCAGGCTGATATCCACGGCCCAAACCATTACATTCCCCCCTCCTTAAATTGCCTTTGCCCTCGAAGACACAACCCAAGTTCTTATTAGCCCCTGGCAGGACTTTCCCCTGCAGGTCCAGGGGTGGTCAACGGCAGCAAATCTGTACAGGAAAGGAGAAAATGTATGGCTGGACAGGGAATCGAACCCGGAACCCCTGCATCACTAGTCAGGTGCTCTACCGACTGAGCTACCCAGGCTGATATCCACGGCCCAAACCATTACATTCCTCCCTCCTTAAATTGTCTGGACTTCGGTGACATCTCTATATGAGTGAAAAATTCTCAAATGGGACATTAAAAACAACATACAACATACACAAATTGAAATTTGTAATGAAGTTTGAATTTGACTTCAGTTTCAGTCTCTACAAATTGCCTAGTTGAGATGGGCTAGAATGAATGTTAACATCCTTTTAGTTGGTAGACTTTAATGATCCTGTGCAAAAGTCACAGAAAAATGCACTTAAAAGTTCCCCTGTCTTCATATCATGTGCACATACAAGTAATAGTCTTACCACAGTTTTTATGTCTGGAGCATGGAAGAAATGATCAAACATTCCAAATATCACTGTATTTGGTGCATACTTCACACCTTTGTCCTGTTGGAGCTGAAAAAGTAATTTAAATATTATTCTTAATTAAATACTCTTATTAAAGTAAGACAGGTCAACTTTTATCCATTTTTGTGCAATTATAATGACGGCAATGATAATGTGTCTATCAGACTTGATAACAACGAATGTACGTACAACTTGGGCTAAAGATAGCATACAGCTAAATTCAGTTAGTTTGGTGAAAAACTGATTTTTACCTTGTCAGCAAAGTACTCCAGTGCATTAAGGTCAACCATCCAGTCCAAAAGGAGGCGCTTGCTGGACTTGTGTTTCACCCACACTCGTACAAGAAGAGCTAGTGTTATGAAGGCAGCATAATGGTTATTTCAAATGCAATATTAAAAATCTACCCATGGAGAGGAATAAAAAAAAATATTTCAAATAAAGTGTATATAACTGATCATCTTGTTACTTTGTGTGAAAAAAATATGCTGCATGCACTTCATTCATCCACCTGTTTACTTAATTAACAGATTCTTGTCTAAGTCTACATGTGTTGTAAACTAAATCAAATTCTTTTCAGTTCCATACCTTTGTTATCATATATCACTACTACACTGAATATACATACATGTACATGATCAAATACATACAAACCTCCTTTTCTTAAACACCTTTAATACCTTTAATACCAATACCACTTATGGATTAAGATGGACATTCTCAATTTTACCAAACATTTGCTCATAAGTTTTACTATTCTGCATCAAGAAATAAAAAGTCCTTTTTATGCCCCCCTATCGAAGATTTGGGAGTATATAGTTTTTGCCCTGTCCGTCCGTCTGTCTGTCCGCAAAAATTTTAACATTGCCCATAACTTTTGATTGGTTGGAGCTATGGCTTTCATATTTCACATGTGTATTCATTGTGACAAGACCTTCATTTGGATACCAACTACTTTGTCCCTTTTGACCTTGACCTAGGAGTTTGACCTACTTTTGGAAAACTTTAACCTTGGCAACAACTTTTGAACAGTTGAAGCTAGGGCTTTCATACTTCACATATGTAATCCTTGTGACAAGACCCTTCTTTGGATACCAACAATTTTGACCCTTTGACCTTGGAATTTGACCTACTTTTGGAAAACTTTAACCTTGGCCATAACTTTTAAACAGTTGGTGCCAAGGCTTTCATAATTTACATAGGTAATCCTTGTGACAAGACCTTCCTTTGGATATCAACAACTTTGACCCTTTGACCTTGGAGTTTGACCTTCTTTTGGAAAACTTTAACCTTGGACATAACTTTTGAACAGTTGGTGCTGGGGCTTTCATATTTCATATGTCAGTCTATTCCTTATGACAAGACCTTCCTTTGGATACCAACAATTGTAATCCATTGACCTTGATCTTGCAGTTTGACCTACTTTTGAAAAACTTAACCTTGGCCATAACTTTTGAATGATTGGTGCTATGGCTTTCATATTTCACATGTGTATTTCTTGTGAGAAGGTATTTACTTGGGCACCATTAATTTTGACCACTTGACCTTGACCTTGATTTTTGACTTACTTTTGAAAAACTTTAACCTTTTCCATATCTATTCAATGGTTGCTGCTAGGGCTTTCACATTTCACAGGTATATTCCTCGAGACAAGACCTTACTTTAGGTACCAACATGTTTGATTTACATTTGAGAAAGTTTAACCTTTGCTATAAGTTGCCATAAGGGGGCATCAGTGTTTCACAAACACATCTTGTTTTATCAATGAACTTTCCCCCAGAATAAATTTGGACATGCACTCCTCAGTTATTGTGAAAAGGATACATTGACATGTGGTGTTAATTTTGTCTTCATATCTGCTTATGTCAAAGCTCTGCCATGAAGGATTCTGTAACATTAAGATAACATAATGTCAATGATATATTCACAATATGAGTGAAAATACCTGATTGCTGATTATGATGGTGACATCTGACAATCAAATAATATACATGTATAATAGGCCTCAAATTAATTTCAGATTTTCATCATCCTCCTTCGATGATAGTCAAACAGGAGGGTAGAATTTTAACAAAAATTTACAATATCACAGTCATGGAATACTATTGAAGCAACTTTTGACCCTGTTTATCTTTACTGTCACTGCTGTAAAATAAATTCGTATTAAAACATTGCACTTTTTGGTTGAAAACATACATTATTCTTTTCACCAGTCCAGACCCCCCCCCCCCCCCCTGAATTTACAGAGTTATTAAAAGTATTCATTGAAGCAAATAAAAAATGGCTTTGGTCCCCCCTAGAAACACGTGGACCCCACCAGCACCACCATGAAATAGTTCTTTTTCACCTATCACAGTATGAGAAAGGGACTTTGCGTTTTTTTGCTTGTCAAGAAATTTCTGACTGGGGTGATTCCCCCCCCCCCCCCTTCCTTTTGGAAAAAAAAATCATGGATCTGTGCCTGTTGAATGAAATAAATGCACAAAGTACTTGTACATGTATTTCAGTTTTTAAAGTTCAAGAATATTTGTGACCTTATACTTTAATTTTATGGTTTAACATAATTTTGGGAGGGCCCTGAGGGTTCAAAGACCAGGATGAGGATGAAGATCAAGCTGAATCCATCCCTAACTGAAAACAACTAATTACAGACATTAACAATGCAAAATTTGACTGTCTAGGTATATTCAAACGTCATGGTTTACTATATGCAGGTATCTTTATAACCACTTCAGGATTACATTTTTGTTTAGAATTCCATACTTGAAACTGATCTAACTTCCTTGATATACAAGTTTTTATTTTATTTTTATTTTATTATGCAATTGTAAATTATAGAATTCTATTTTATGAAACATGTGGAATATTTATACCACCTACAGAGACAGAAACTTACCAGTGATGCAGTGATGGTCTCACTTTGATAGAACTCTAAAATAAAACCAAGCATTTCAGTCAATATAATATGCATCCTAATAGCACGTCATTAAGAGATTTATTTATTTATTTATTTATTTTGTTTTTGTTTTTTGTGATTTATACAGAATACGGTGTCATCTAAGTTTTACCCAAAAAAGAAAAAAGATAAAGATCATGACAAAGAATCAACCAAATGACAGAAAAATGAACCAATTGCACCAAGTAAATATTACCAAATTAATTTAACTTCTTTTTTGTACTTATTAGTATAATTAATATTAAAAATCTTTTATAAATTCTTACCTTTACTCTCCCTGTCCTTGTGCAGACTGAAAAATGTCTCAAGTTCACTGAGTTCTTTCCCAAACTGAAACTGGCATTTCAAATTTCTCACAGCGACTAGTTTCAAATGTCTCAATCTTCTCTAAAAAAAAGTAACAAAAATATCATCAATGATCATACTGTAATCCTAATTTAAGACCAACAATTAACCATGTACAAAAAAGAATATGTTGAAACAGTATGAAACCTGAATAAAATGTTATTGAAATATGCGTAAGCGGCATGGAGAAAAATGTGATGGACCAGACCAGGAATGGAATCATGGGACAGGTGCTCTTCCAATGAAGATTTCTGACCAATGGCCATCGAACCAGCTTGACCTTCAAATTTCTATACAGTAATGGTTTCTAACTACTCAATAGTGATTGCATATACATGTATGGTTTATACACACTACAATAAGTACACGTCGGTCTGAAGACTGAGGCCAGCTGAACTGCTACAGAACAAGCACAATTACAAAAACACACACTCAAGTTTTGATTTAATAAAAAAATAGATACAAGCAAATTAAAAAAATTGTGGTCCCCTACTTTTGGTGTCTTTTATAATGGTTGGGATGCAGTTATTAATGGCATATGGTAACTGTCTTGTCTGTGTGTCCTGTCTTATCTGTCCATTGCTTAAAAAGGATACGATTTTTTTGGAATTTACAAAAGTTATGGCAAAGATATAAGTTTCTTAAATCTGCATCATAAATTTCATGATGGAGGTCATGGTAGGTCAACTATCATAATACAATCCAAAAGGTCTTGTCACAAGTATGCAAATGTGGAAAAAAAATGAAAGCCCCGTCTCTTCTGGAGCAAAAGTTATGGCCAAAATTAATTTTTTTTTTTTAAGTACTAGGTCAGGTTAAACTTCTTGGTCAAAGTAAAAGTGATAATTCTTTCTGAAAGGTCTTGTCACAGGTAATGCATGTTAAATATAATAATAAAGCCCTATCTTCTTTCATTCAAAAGTTATTACCAATGTTTAAGTTTCTGAATCTGAAAAGTATGTCAAACTTAAAAGGTCAAGATCAGGGGTCAAAACCCTAGCACATTTAAAAAGGTCTGTCACAGGTAATGCACATGTCATGAATTCGATCTCTATCTTCTCTCAATCAAAACTTACCACCAATGGAAATATTTTTGGGAAAAAAATTTAAAGATCAAGGTCACAGGGTCAAAAATTACAGTAAATTTTGGGAAAGATCTTGTCAAATGTAATGCACATGTCAAACATGAATGCCCTATCTTCTCTCATTCAAAAGTTATAATAATGTTAAAATTTTTGAAAAGTAGGTCAAACTTCAAGGGCAAGGTCACAAGTAGCTGCAGAACTTTAGTTCTTGGGCTGAAAAAAATCCGATGGACAAACCAGAGAGCTACAGATCCAAAAGAGCTGTGCTGTAAATCAAAGGTTTTTACAATGCTTCTCAACCAGGGAGCTACAGTTCTGCAGCTAGGTCACAAGGTAAAAAAATCATAGTACATTTGGAAACGTCTTGTCACAGGTAATGTAAATGTGAAATATGAAACACCAGCTACCTTTTTTAATTCAAAATTATGACCAAGGTTAAAGTTTTTGTGACAGACTGATGGATAGACCGAGAGTCAAACAAGATTTAACATTCCCTCACTTTCGCGAGAGCACTAAGGGACGATAATAAATATCAGTATGCATAAAAACAGTATACTGTACTTATTCAAACAAATAACAACAGTTTTTTTTTTCACGTAATGATAATTTAAAATTTATATTGGTCCATGAAGTAACAAGTATAGGAGTTAATATGATTCTGATTTGAAGTTACTATTGTTAAGAAACACTTTTTACTGATTTTCAGTTCTGAAAATTGTATGCATATAAGAGTCTATTCTTCTCTTATAATACCTATATTGTAATCTATGTAGGTATATTGAATGGTAAGTAAGAATTCATTAGAAAATTTAAGAATTTCATTTGTCATGAATGGACAAGCAATTCTGGAATTTGCTTCTTCCTGTTGACAGTCAAAAGTACATGTATTTGTGTTTTCTTTTTTATATACATAACAGTGCCTGGCAAAGCACTAACAGAGCTGTCATCATTACAAATAACTATAAGAGGGAAATACATGTATTAAATATTTTGTTCATTAGCAAAATACATTGTAGATTTAATTCAATTTTTTATTTGAAAAAAAAAAATGCTCAAAACATCAAGTGAAACATAGGAAACTAGATGTCATAGGAAAATAGTTAATGGTAATAAGACTTAGTACTGGTACATTCAAAAATACTGAAATGTATTTGAAGTGAAATCAATTCCCATGCATTCAAAAACATCGTTAGCAAGTCTAGCTCTATATAGACTGTGTATATGAACAAAGGAATTCTGTTCAGGAAAATTTTGAGGAGTCCTCTAAACATTGATATATCATTTAATTCGCAACATCTTAAATTTTATTTTGGAAATTCAATGTAGTTTTTCTCAGTGCTCTAGCTTCCCCACTTCTCATAAAAAAAGCATTAATTTCCATAAGTCTTTTGTTATGATCTATAGATACAGAATTTAGATCCATTCTGGGTTCCTGAAAAAATGTATATACATGTATATCAGTAAACTAAGTATGAATTACTGTATATATACATGATATATGGAGTTATAAATTTTATTGAATATTACTTCTGCATTTCTAACATTGCTTTGAGAATTGTCTACCTTACATTGTGTGACTTAAAGCCATTACTTGACGGTGCATGTTCAAGGTTCATATCATTGACAAATCAAACATATAGAAATGATTCATTTTTCAGGCTTTTTTATGCATCATTTTTCAGGCTTTTTTTTTTAAAGGGAAGTGGGAGAAGAATAAACTTGGAGAAATGCAGGAACAATATATTTATTTTAAAATATGACCTGTTCAAATCAGAGACATTAATAAACAAATTCACAGCTCTGTCATAAACAAGTTTTTTTTTTTTGGGGGGGGGGGGGGGGGCTAAAATTGGGTGAAGGTCATGGCAATTTACTCTTCATATTGGATTTACATTTTGATCTTAAGTTTAAGTTTAGTTCTATTATATATAGGTGTATGAATTTTCAAGTTTTGAAACTATACATTGGAAAATGATAGCAAACTATGTAACTCAAAAAGGTCAATGATGGAAAATTGGAGAAATCTTGGAGATATGGCCAACCACCAGTCAATTGTTGCTTTTTTTCAAATTCCTCTTTTCTTTATGTACATATTACTTTGTTTTTAAATATACTTTTGTCAATCTTTATTATATACCTATTATCAATTTTTCATACATAATTTGCTCTTTCATGCACAGTGGCGGATCCAGAAGTCCACCTGGGGGGGTTTTGAGGCCCGTAGGGCCGAAGGGGGAGGGCATGGGAGGGGGTGTCCCCCTCCCATAGGTGGGGGTTTTCTTTAAAAATGGCTCCAAATAGTACATTTTCCAGCATTTTAGATTGAATTAGTTAGTTTTTGGCCACTTTTTTCCTAGTTGTTTTTCAAGACCGACCTACCCAAATTTTCAAGAAATTGAACAAAAAATTAAAATTTTGGGATTATTTTTAACTTCCATGTTAACTTGAAAAATGAGACTTTTCTAAAAAAAAAAATTAAATGTAAAATCTGATAAAATTAGAAATATCGCCATTTGCTATATAATATCCAATTCTTCATTTTAAAATGCACGTCCAACACACTGTCGCATGTGAAGCTTTGTCTACCAAAATACAACTGCATGATGAGCAATTTTCCAACACTTAGAACATTCGAATTCTGTGTAGAAACCCTAATTACTCTTTTCAACTAATTGACTATACTGTTCATATATTTTTTGATATAAACACATAATGATATTTCATATTGAAGAATAAATATAAATTATTTTGGAAAAAAATTGGAATTATTGCTTATTCACTGGGGGGGGGGGGGGGGGTAATTATAATTTCTAACATAAATGCACTCTTTAATTCTTTTTTTTTTTTTACCCACTTACCTGCCCTAAGTTTGAAAAAAAAGTCTTGAAAAACAATCAATAAAAAAGTTGCCAATTCTTGTTTTAACAAGACCTCTAATTTATACGTATTAGTTTTACCACAATTCATTTTACAAAGTTGTAACCATTAGTTGAGTTTTATTCAACATCAATCTACTGTAATTTAAAAAAATGCAGATCTTTTGCTTTTTAAAATTGCATTGTAACTTCCATCTACAAAAGGAATACTTTCAATGTGCTTTTTTGGTACAGGTCACAACGTGTTTCAACTAGTATACGTCCCTGATGTATTAATTAATTTTTTTTCTATTAAATAATAATCACAGTTTATTCACGTAGTTCAATAAAGTAACATTCAATTATCAAAGAAAGAAGAAAATTCTCGAAACAATATTACTTTAGCCAAAACAAAACCGTAATAACTCTGTGCAGTTTTGGTTGTTAGTGTATGATGCTGCGTCATCACTAGCTGCACGGACTATCATGATCTCTGCATGTACAGTACTGTTGATTACCTGTATATTGTGTGCGCTCAAGCGGAAAGGGATTTCGCATGGTGACTGTTTATTTCACCTCTTTATGTAAAACAATGGGCTTGGATAGAGTCGCATTTATGCAATACATTGTTAAAATGACACTTGTAAAAAAATTTTTTTTTGATCGGGCGGGGGGGGGGGGGGGTCCCGACCCCCCCCAAACCCCCCTGAATCCGCCACTGATGCAGAACTCATTCAATAACATCATTTTGACATGTCATATTCCATTCCCCAAAAGTGAAAACATTACTGGTGAATGTAGCTGCTAATTCCTAAAACTTGTAAGACACCATTTTTTACTTAGTATATTAACTGATTTCTTTATTCTCCCCCCCCCCCCCCCCCCCCCCCCCCCCGAATTGTTTAAAATGTTTTTAAAAAGTCTGAAAACTTCCAAGTAATGAGAAGTCCCAGATATTACAACTAGAGAATGTTATATTACAATATTCATTAAATAAGATAAAGTTAAAGTAATTGCTGTATCCCAACAGTATAACAAGTGTAGATATTAATTTTTATTTTAAATATTTTTTACATATTATAATGACATATATAAAAGCGTTTTAGTTACGAGTTGACTATTTGGCTTGAATTGACTTGATACTTTAAAATTAAAACGTCTTTTAATTAATAAATAAACATCTACATGTTTCAAAACTGGGATTCCATAATAAGAAACAGGTCCGGCACAATCTATTGATTTAGCTATATAGCTTGATGTAGTTATATAGCTTTATTAAGCTATTCAGAATAGCTTGATTTAGCTATTTTATCACAGCTTTTTCTTAATCTCTTAATCTAACTCAGACTAACTCTGTCTCAGGCCAAGCCCTCACCATGGTTAGAATATGTCCCATATACTTGCAATGTAGCAAATCAGAGCGGATTGGACTGCTCCGAAATGAATTTGAAGAATACAAAAGGAGTTGCACTGAAAATAACTACCAAATTAACCATAACAAACCTTTTTGAAATTGTACATGCCTTTTAACCTAAAAAAAATAATCCATATAAATGCGAAAATTCAACTCATTTTCTCAACGTTTTTTCCTCGCTTCAAATTCACATGCCATGTTGATGTTTGGAACTCTCTGGATTGTTAATAGAAAATACAAAGAGTTTGAGTTATTGCCCGTCTTTATTTTGCTACATTACCAATACACAGAACGAATTCTATTGTTAAACCGGGTCCGTAGGACAACATCATTTTAACGATAGAACGTTCGATCTAGGTAGAGTGCAGTTACCAAAACAATGCACGGAAATTCATCTTTTGCTTAAAAGTATTCAAATGCTGCAATGTTAGAACTATCTTTGATTTTGCTTGTTGTCTTGATAGCGAATAGTACTTATATGAATCAACAGTCAAATACATGCGACTTTTTGTCTATGTCTTACAAAAAAAAAAAAAAAACAAACAAACAAAAAAAAACACAATTTTCTGAAAAACTGCATATGAATAGCTTTATCAAGCTTGAATAGCTTAATAAAGCTATATAGCTATATCAAGCTAAATAGCTAAATCAAGAGATTGTGCTGGACCTGAGAAATATCGATTGTAAATTTTTCTATTTTCAATTTTCCTGACCTGGTAACTTGGCAGCTCAAATACGTTTGATGTGTTGATTAAGTCAACCATTTCTAGGTACACATTATATGCACAGGAGATTCAATGTCATCCGTTCAAAACTGAAGTCATGGTTATAAAATTATTGATCATTAACAAGGAGGTGTCAGTTTTAGTTCATCCACCATTTTTAACATCTCGCATATATCACGTGACACTCATCCCTTTCTTTAGTATCTGGACCTATTTCCTTGAAGTCTTTATTTCTGTTTTTTCCATTCTTCATAATACACAGAAAGGAAGTTCTATTTATCATAAGTTTATTTGCACTAAACATTGTTAATTCCTGTACAAGTTTCCCTATGTCTATATTTAACGAGATTTCGTGTCACATGATCACACATTGAACTTCCGGTTGTCTGCTTAAGTTTAGCACGTAGAGACTGACAGAGATTTTGTTATTGATATCCTCAGGAAGTAATTTATATTTTCATTTAAATGCTTTTAATGTTAGTTGATTACTTATTTTATTTTATGACTCAAATTGAATACTATTCTGTGTTAGGCCTATGCAGTACATTAAGTTCGAAGGGGGGGGGGGGTCAAGTCAAGAGTCTGAAAGGGTCTTTCTAGTGTGCCCCTATGCATCACTCACATATTATTATAGTGATATATGTATGAGTTGAGTGATAAAATACTATAAAACATTTGATAATTCGATGTACACACAAATAACAAGCTCTTTATGAGTTTCTCTTGCAGTGTCATATAATTAGTATTTACCATAATTATATGCCAATGATTCTATTATAAACTTTCAGTTCAGAAATGGCAAATGTTCAAGGGATTGACAAGATTCAAGATTCCTTAGGTTATTTGGTGTTGACTGAAGAAGGAGCAGTTATTAGTGTAAGTATTTGAAGTATTTGAACAAATCAAAACAAATTAGACCTTTATATCTGGATCATTTGATTCGAGATATGATGAAGTCTCTGCATGGAATTTGTCTTATACATTGAATTAGTTTGCCTTCATCAATACTTAAAGTTTATTTGTCCATAATAAATAATTATAGAGGACTGGAAAGGTATATATTGAAAGCTTGGATAAAAGTTGTATTGAATATGTATAACTGCATGCAGTGATTAGGAAGGTATCGGGTTCATTCGCCCTATCTACCTGTTCGCATGAGTCCGCGCAGGGTCCGTTCGCCATTATTCTTGTTCGCCCTATATCTCGTTCGCCCTATTATATATTTATACTGTATATAGTAAATATCAACATTTATTATTAATTTTATTCAATATTTTATGACTTGGTGTTTTTTTTCAAATGTTGCTACGGTATTTTTTTTCATTTACCGTAATCTTAATTAAATAATTCAAATTTGATATTTATGCTCTATACATGCTTAATTGATTTAATTATACTTAATAATGTCACTGTAATTTAGGGAATCATTGACCTATCTGCGTTATGTTTTGAAAACAATTAAAGGACTGCGACGTTAATTTCTGTTGGTCTGCCGGGTCTGTGATAGTACAGGTATTTATAGTGTGACCACATGCATACATCTGTTTCTCCTGTGTGCAATTTATGTACCAATGTACATATAATTTATTTAAAAAACCCATTGGTTCATTATTCAACTTTCTGCAATATAAATAAGGCGAACGGACCCTGTGCGAACAAGTTTTAGGGCGATCGAACTCTGGGCGAACGGGAATTAGGGCGAATGGCGTCAAGGGCGAAAAAGTTTTAGGGCGAACGAACATACAACCGATTGGGTAGACCATAATTAAAGGTCAATGGGACTATAGAAAGATCTTTTTAAATTTATAATTAATCTGAACTGATAAAAAATATGCCATATATGACTTTAATTTTTGTTTGAGTCTAATTTTCATAATAAGTTAACATTTATACCTTATGCTTTTTGTTTTAACCTTGTATTTTGGTGATAATAATACCAATCCTATAGTCAGGTGGAGATCTTCAGAATGCTGAGGCATTAGCTGATGGACTGACAAAGCTTGTGTTTACAGCCAGTAGAATACCAGTATCCCCAGACAGAAGAGAAACTTTTCAGAAGATTTCAGGTCAATATTTAATTTCTCTTAATTTTTTTCACAATTGTTGCACATACTAATAAGATTTAAAAGCACTATAAAAGGTTGATAAAGATTGAAAATCCAAGACTTTCCCTGTTATTAAGATCCAATATTGCCTCTTTTGTTCTGTTTGTTTTCTCTATGACTTTTAGGGAATGTAGAGTTGCAAACAAGTCATGTCAGGAGAATGCACTCTTTATATTTTGTACAATTTCTCTCTGTCGTACCTCTATTGGTGCTAAAGCTTGTTAGAATTTAGCAAAATGTTATAAAATTAGTTATATTTTAATAAGAAGAGGTATGGCATTGCTGGGTATGGAACTCAGTAGCTACCAAGGCCATTGTCAAAAGCACATGATGTCATTTAAAAAGTTTTGCTACATTTCTTTGCCGAACTAGAACCTAATGTATAAAGGCTACAAAATATTTAAATGTATAATTATCAAATTAAAACATATCTGTATCATATATAGACATAGAATAATTAAGAGCATTTAAAACTGTGGATTTTAAGTAGGTCAATATCCTTGTACTTCTTTTTGTTTGTTTATTACTCTCAAACCATACAATGGTACATGAGGTACATGAACACATTTACATATATACAAAATATCAGGTCAAGTAAGGAAGAGTAGTATATAGATATAAAAGAAGATTATTACTGAAAACATGCCAGTATCTTTTTAACAAACAAAGAAAGCTTTATCAGTCTGTCTAAATCTGTTGTGGACATAAGGTTCTCAAATTTATAAGTATTTACATTAGATAAATATTTCTTATCAGTAAGTTTCATACAGTATTGTCCGTTTTTGTTTTGGTAAAACACATGATGTCATATTGGGAAATAAAATTTAAGAATTCAGGGTACTACAGTTTTCGCCTGAGTCCACACACATTTAATGTCAAAAGTTTAAGTCGATATGTAGACTGCTCTCCCTCATATCCTTAGCCATCTCGATCTGGGGTTGAAGTTTGGCGTGGTCTTTTCTTAGATTGTCCATGTTGTCGGTCTCTGTAGTTTTTGATCAGATTCGTTTGAGTGGTCACGCATTGATCAGCCTGAACAGGCGGCATAGGAGTATAAACTTCACCGTCAATGTATAGCATATCACGAACAAGTTTCACTTTTTTCTTATCCTTTCTGGCCTGTCGCATGACGGGATATAATTTCTTTCTTTTTTCTTCTATCTCGGGGGATATTGCTCATTGACCCATACATGCGTTCCGCTTAGCTTTTGGGGAGCACGTGTTCATATGAACTCACGATCTTTAAAGAAGGTGAATTTAGCCACTATATTGCGGGGGTGTTCATTAAAATCATTCCATCTCCCCATCCTGTGCACTCTTTCAAAGGATATTTCATAATATGGTTTAAATCTACCTTGGATAAAGTCCTGCAATACTGCTTCAGTATTTTCATTTTTCTCTTCTCATATTCTGCTAAAAAGTAGATTGTCCCTCATGGAACGGGCTTTTAGATCAATCATGGACTCCTGTAGATTGACACTTGCTTCATTCAATGCCTGAATATCTTCCTTGATCTTCTGACCTTGTTGATCTTTTCCCTCTCGTAACTCAACCATCTCTTCTCCGTTTTCAGTAATCTGTTTTGTGTTGGATTCTACTGATACTTTTACTGCATCGAATATATTTCCTAGAGAACACACATTAGATTCTAATTCTTTGTGATCGTTTTTGATAGTTTTGATTTCTTCTTCTATCTTGTTGACCTGAGACGTTATCGTATTTACTGCTATGCTGTTACTGCCATTCCTTAAAAGCAATGGGCCTTGGCCCCTTTAGGGCCTACGCTTCATTACTTTTGAGTAATTGAGAGGAACTTGGACATTAATGTGTTTCATTTTTATCTTTATAAAACCTGACATACTGTGAGTGTATAAGATTTGATAGAAAGGAACTTTTACTAAATCAAGTACATTGCTAAATGCATTGTATATTTATCTAGGACATTCAGAATGCACTATATCAAATCTACACTAACTTTTCAAAAAGTGATTTTCCACAAAATATTGTACATGCTAAACATAAACTGGACTGGTGTACTACATGTACTTAAAATCAGCATGGCAACCCATGCTGATTTATAGGTTGGTAATGATGGAAATAACAAGTGCCAGCACTTGCCTCTGAATTACCTAAAGTTCACTTCATCAGTTTGCCCTTTGCATTAAACTGGAATTTCATTCATGATTTAAACATAAAAACAAGCGCAAAGACAGCTTGTATGTATTGCAGTGCTTCATTGTTTTATGTAAGGCACCATGCAAGTTTAATTTTGTTCTAATTTGTTGTATGTAGTAGATAAACCAAACTTGCTGTAGCAGCTTATTTGGCTTTGATGGGTGCTCTATTTAATGTTTGTGTGTCTTAAGTAAGGATGTAGTCCTTAGTTAAGATAGAGATGTCAGGATTGGACATTAATGCATTTGTTAAATGATGATAAAGAGCATGAGCCACTTAGGGCCTTTTTTGGCTCTGAGAATTTCTGTAAAATGGAAACTGCTCAGTTTTAGTTGAAAATGCAGTATTTATAGCCTGGACACTTGGTGACCGTGTATCTATTGAACCTGACGTTATTTTCTCTCTAGTCAATGCATTATGACGTCATAAATGCGTCATTTTTCCCATATCCTGTAAATTCCATTAAAAATGGACAAAAGTTGAGATATTTTTTCAATTTTTCATATAGAGCACAACCTCTGATCCAAAATATGCAATTACATAATGAAAGATCTGTTTCTGAAGATCACACAACAAGTTTTAATTTTTGGATCATGGGCTGTGCTCATATTTCAATTCTTTGCTGAAGGTAGTCAAATATGCGTGTTTTCTGCAAAATTCAAGAACATTGCATTTTCTCAAAGCCTGTTTACCAATAACTGGATTCTCAAAATGAAACTTTGTTATAGGAAATGAAAGCACTATGTCTCTACTTTATTTTGATATATGAATTGGGACAGAGGGTGATAGTCAATTAAATGATATAAGGACACGGCCATTTTATGCATAAAGTGAACCTAGCTCTTTAATACATTTATAAAAATGAAACAATGTTGGCAAGAATATTAGATAATTCTGCATGTTTTAAGGATCAAACTGGTTTTCTTTTTTATTTTGCAGTGATATGGGAAGATTTCATGTATGTAATCACAGTATCAAACCACAAGATATACATCTGTAAGAGGCCTTATTCTCCACAAGACCCAGCTATTGCTTAAAAATTTTATTCGATGTATATGTGAAGCCTTGGTTGAACAGAGTTAAGAGACCATGCAGGTATATCACTCTGTGTAGAGTTTGTGTGTGTCGAGGAGAAACTGGTGCAACTGATGCCTCTAGTGGCAATATATGTAGGTGCTGGCACAGAGGGACATCATCATATATTTATATTTGAGTCTAAATAAATGCTTCCTATTTGTGTCAGAAAGAAAATCTTTACTCAAAAATGTTCTTATTTCTCTTGAATACTGCATGTATTTTTTTTAATGATATATTTAGGCATGTGCAATGTTTATCGGTTTACCAGTATATCATGATTTTTATTGCGTGATATGTATTGTGCACATATTGTGATACGGAGACTAAAATACCGGCATTTAGTATGTAATTATTAATTCCAGGAATAATTTTTTTTTTGGTTCAACTTCTAGAAGTACAGTTATAGGAATTATACGAATTGTAAAAAATGTTGTAAAACAGTAAAACAATGGCATCCTAGCATCCATACATGCCTTATTAATATTTGAATAAAAATTTTAAAAAAGTGAAGTTATGTTATGAAACTAAATTTGTTAGAAAAATTATGAAAATTCATTAAAAATTTAAGTAAAAATTATATGCAAAATATCATATTTTTGAGAAAAATCGTGATATATTGTGATACAAAATTTTCGGCGATACCCATCCCTAGATATATTGACTCTATTTACTTATAAATTTGTTACAGAAAAATAATGAATTTTTCTTACCTACCAACTGATGTCAAATAGTGAATAGCTAGGGTAAAAAGATTAAATTTAGAAATTTTTGTACACTGTTTCAATATTTTCTTCTACTGTTGTCCAGAATTCAATTTACATTGAATGTCAGATGCAGATACATGTAGCTTTGATTTCATTCATTTCTAGTAAACAGAATACTAGATTTGCATTCAGTACAGTGGATCTTCACAACATCACATGTCCCGAGTCCACTCTTGGACTTGGGATCTCTGACAAACTTCATTTGATATTTAACAAGATGATGGCAGCAACATCTTTCAAGGAAATTACAAATTCTGATTTTTTTTTCATCTCTCAGCTAATAACATCGAGCCTTTCAGAGAAAATCAACCTGTTACACATACACTGAAGTGTCAATTGTTTACTTTTATTTTTTTTATGACAACTTTATACGAAAGCTCCTATTTGATTGAGAAATGAGAGAAGCTGCCCCCCCCCCCACCCCCCAAAGTTTGTCAGCTAGGGTCCCAGAGCAATAAGTGTGGTTGAAAGATTTCATATGTCAAATATGTGACTGTGTAATATAATCATGTGACATTTCATAAAGAATCAACTTATCATGTTGGATTACATTAATGAAAAAACATATCTTTAGATTTGTAAATATAATAATAAAACAAGACTTCAATTTTGTGTGCTTGTTTATTATTGATATGAAACAAAAAAAATGAACAATCCTTAAAAAGAATAAAATCAATCTGTAAAGTCCAAGAAAACTTTATAAAAAAGAAACCCTGATTACTACTAGAGCCAACATTAAACAGAAAGATGCAATTTGATTTTTACAACAAGCATTTAAGTTGGTAATAGTTACATAATGCCATATAAAGAAAGCCTTGTTCATACAAGATCGGTTAAATTTATATTAGTAAGGTACTCTCTGGTGTCTGAGACCTTTATAATGATGCATTTTGCAAGGAAAATTGGAGAAACTCGAAGTATAAATCATGGATATAAATGCAAACTTTTGTCATTTGAGATTCTGAGGATCAGCAGAAAATCTGTTATGACAAAATATTATAATACACCTGAGGATTATTGAAGTATTTTCAAAGCAAAATGTGACAATAAAAGTAAAATGCAAATAAAAAAAGCAATCATTGCACCAAAGCTAGATATGTTTATTAAAAAAAGGATAAAAATGTGAGAACAAAGGCAAGTACTGGTAATCCCATTGGGATGAGAATATGTCAATATGTGATGTAAATTGCTATCTCAAGTAATAATTTTTGCTGTAGATGATCTTTAAGTAAAAACAATGCTATAATTGCATTTAAAATCCTCTTAAAATCATATAAATTAGCCCATTAAACTATTTGGAGGCATATTCAGTTTTAAAACAAATAGAGAGCCAGTTTGATTGCTGATACACGGTATATCTTGCGTTGCTTGCAAAGGCTGAGCTTGTTTAGTTTTCATATGTATCACAGAGTGTATTGGTAAGTGTACAGAAAAGAAATTTTAACTTGGATTTCAATCTATTTCGCATGGAAATTTTCATTTGTCTAAATTCAATGATAAATATCACTCCATACATGAGAAAAACACCATTTCACTTTAAAACATGATTGTTGTTTCTAAATATAAAATAAATACCAACTTTTAACTATAACTAACAGCAATAACAACAATGCATACTATTATTTAGGTATTATTAATATCTAACAATTGATCGTAAATATCAAATACACACTTTAACAAAAATACCTTAAACAAGAAAACGATGTATCACTATCACAGTGTAAAATAATTAATTCGGCACTGCCAGTTTTCAACTATAATTTTATAAATAACATTAAGGATTATATCATATTACAATCATTAAGGACGGTCATGAATGGTTGTATAAATTATTTTTTTTTAAAAATCAACCTTCAAGGCCTATTTCAGCGCTAGTGGCATTTCAGCAACAAAACAGACTTATTATTATAACATTAACCTTGTTTTTCCAAAATAGTACTTGGATCCAAATGTAGTACATGTATTAATAGCTAAGTGATTGTGAGACTTAAAAAAATTCTAATCATTGATTTGAACAACATTGGTAGTTTTAGTCAGTGTCAGGATAGTTTAGTCACCTTTGAGAATTTTCTTTAACACTCTTTTGTAAAAGGAAGAAGAGTTTGCCATAAATTTGTTATTTTCACTGTAAAAATACATGTCAGACTCTGTGAAAATGTCATAGATAAATTATGGTATTTTACTGTTGAAAATGTAATAAGCATTCTAATTTCTGATATGCTTCTCCTGGATTAAGATATTTTGTTCCTGGATGGCAACCTTAAAGTGGAAATGCAAATAATATGAAAATAAATAATAATAAGGTTAAAATGCAAGTACATACTCTATATAAATGAATTCAAAGCATAAAAATAAAAATAAATTAAAAAAAAATAGGGGTAACAATCTATATAAAATAAACCTGGTCACCACATTCTTTTGTAGGACAGGGGAAACTACTGGACTTGATGGGATGTACCTCAATAATCTACTCTAAAAACTATAATCAAACCAAAGTATATCATTGTTCAATTTTAAGATTAATCTATGGTAGTTTGCTTCACAAGTCGCATTACAATGGCTATAAGATCTGCGGCTCTCTTTTGACCAATGGCAAGAACTTCTTCATGAGTGGTGTTCTCTATGGAATCGTAACTTAAGCAGCATTTATCTGTAATAAGGGAGAGACCAAACACCTTCAGGCCCATGTGTCTGGCTACAATGGCCTCAGCAACAGTGCTCATTCCTGTAACAATCAAATGTTTACATTTAAGCACCTGTTATTCTTTTGGAACTGGGTGTTTTTTTTAACTTTCTTATCTAAAACTCTCTCTCTCTCTCTCTCTCTCTCTCTCTCTCTCTCTATATATATATATATATACCGGTAATAGGAAAAAAAATCTAGGAATCAAACCCTTATTTCTGCATTACTAGTCAAGTGCTCTTACCATAGCTGCAGAACTGCAGCTCCCTGAAAAAAATTGTATTGACAAACCAGTCTGTCAACATATTTTTTTTTTTGAGAGCTACAGTTCTGCAGCTACCCAGGCTGATATCAACAATCCATGATACCTGAATCACTTTATATATAAATCTCACAAATATTCTGTACAACTACAGTGTATTATTGAATAGAGTCAAAACTTAACTGTAGATAAAAATTTCTAATGTATCAGAAAAAGTATTTTAATTTTAATAGGAATATGAAAGATAATCAGAAACCCAAACTTAAATGACTAAATTATGTAGTAAATGTCACTGGCATTCTAGTTATAGAAGCTGATGACCTTGCAACAAAGTACAGCTTCTTACCTACTGCATCACCACCAAAGGCTTTAAGTAACCTTGACTCAGCCACAGTTTCAAAGGTTGGTCCCCCAATCATTACATAAGTTCCTTCTCTCATGTATTTACTTAGACCAAGTTCTTCAAAAACCTTTTTGCAAGTAGCACGAAGGTCAGCATCATAGGTATTTACTGTTGCTAGGAAACGTGGACCAAATCTGGAAGAAAAATACATGTACATCTAGTATAAAGATAGTAGACAATTACGAATATTTATGATAAATACAAGATTACTACTCAAAATTAATCATCACAAAAGTAGCAGGAATTAGTTTTGTCAGAATTGAACACAGGATAATTCATTAATATTCATGAGTTAATTTCAAACAGAATAACACACTGTATGAGGATATGAATGAATTAGCAAGAGACATAAGCTTTAAAAATTGATCTTAAGTATATTAGGACAAAATCAATGTGGTTCAATGTCTTGGTAATACCTTTCATCATTATATCCACGCAGCACACACTCCCCAGTTAGACCAGGCATATCTATATGATCCCGTATAATCATCATGTCTCCGACATTGTATTCTGGATTGATGCCTCCCGCAGCATTGGTCAGTAACACAGTAGTGACTCCGAGAGCCTTCATAACTCGAATTGGAATTGTAGTCTGTATGAAAGATTATTATTTTGTAATGCCCAAAATATTACAATGTAAATAGGAAAAAAAGCAAATTATCTGAAAATAAAATTTGAATAATCTTGTGTTGGCAGATCACATTATTGATTGGTGTTGTGAACAAAATTATTGTGCTTTTCTGGAATGAAAGCTAGCATTTATTCTATATATTGATTATCAAACCTACAAACTTTTATCATTTAATTGGTATAAAGCCCAGAAGAGATGTTGGAAGAATTTGATGTATTACATATCATCTTGTTTATGGAAGATTTGTGTCTAGCCATCAAAAAATAAGAAACCATTCAATCATTTTCAAAGCTGATTCCACTCAAACTTGGTAGGGAAAATGTATTGCTTAAAATCAAGTATGAATGAGGGTCTTCCGAGTTCTCATCATTTAACGTTTCTTAACATGCAGAAATTAAAAAGTATGTTTTTTTAAAAACTGCTATTTTAAATAATGCCAATATCGGCAATCTTCAGTTTTGATTTTGATGTAATCCAGACAATTATATTGATTCAGATTTTTTAAACACACAAAAAACTAAATACACCTTTTAAAATGAGCCCCTGAGAAAAAAGTGCATAATCTTAAACTTCCCCCAGTCACACAATCATAGCACAATGGCTGTTTGCTATCTATTTGCTGAATACATACAGTTGAACTTCAGTACCTCAAATAAAATGGATACATCAAAGTGAGGTAGAACTCCCAACCACCATTTCTTTATGTGTTTTGACCTCGGACTCTCAACCCTCAGACATCTTTGGGGGTTTTTCTCAGTCCCTTCGAGTTTGAGATAACAAGGTTTGACTTTACTTACCTTCCACATTGGATGGCCTTCATAGCAGTGCAGACGTCCTCTCATCAACACTACTGGTTTTCCCTCTAAGTTACCAAACACCAGCTTTCCCATGTGACCAGGTACTGAAATAAAAGAAATGTACACATATATTTATTTAATTTGATACCAGAAACATTGGGTTACCTGGGGCACCTTTGTTATAAACAAATATGATTAATGGCACTAGAGTGATCAGCATTTCCTTAGGTAACTCCTGCTATAGAAAGTTTCAGAGATGATATTGAAAAAGAAGAGACAAATATTCAGGATAATGCTATGATTAAATATTTTCTGTCGATCATTAAAAATTCAACAAAACATTTTTTTTCTACTTCTATTATTTAGCACAATTTCATCAAGTAATGAAAATCAGTCCTTTTAAAGTTTTCCGAATTTCAACATATTATGCATCTAAATTCCCAATTCTCTGGACCCGGACACAGTTTAAAAATGGAAGGAAAACTCCTGAACTCTGACCTACTAAAACATGACCTTGCCTTACCTGTACTGACTGGGAAAGTTGGTATTTCGCTGTAGGGAATGACATCAGCATCTTGGACTTGATCTGCTAGGTCCCCTAGTCCTGACCCACACACAATGCCTATCTTTGGATGATGTTTGGTCCTGCCTTGTATGGACTGAGCTATGGATGTAACCTCCTCAAAGCTTGGACTATCAACAAATGATAAAACATTTACTTGAATATAAACTGCTCAAAGGTCTATATCAATGATAGTGTTGCATTAAAAAAAAAATATTGTTTTTAAACATTTGTACCATAGGACTGGCGGTAAATTTAGATTTTGCTCTGATGTTGCTGTGGTGTATTTGCCAGAAGAATCACAGTTTTTTTAAGTCACGCCCACCTTTTGGCATCAAGCCATACTGTGACAAGACCTTGACTGATGAATGAATGATGTTAATTTCCAGACCTTGGCAATTGCTGATGAATGAATTAAGTCAACATTTTCAACTCAAGAACACTAACATTGGCTTGTTGATGTTCGCTTCATAAATGTTTCTGTATGTTTTCTCCGCATATCCCTAATCAGTAAATGATACGTCCTATCTCGAATTCTCGTCATTCTCTTTCCCGTCTCCAAATACAGAGAGCAATTTCACATCAGAAGTCCCCACGTTTTTTTTTTACTTCCAATACCATTTCAAACTTTCATTAAAATGTCAGAAATCATTTCATTTTTTTTTTCTGTATGCCGATTGCCATAAAGAAAAAATTTGAATGGCGATGTTTCCCATAGCCATCCCCCCTTTTTTAAAAAAAAAAAAAAAAAAAAAAAAAAGATATAGAAAGACAAATTCTCTTTCAGAGTTGACGTCCTGAATATAAAAGCCTACAATCGCTACCCCTGTACCTGACAAAAATCATGTTTTCTGCTTCTTCAACATTCCAAGGGTACAATTCTTCACACGTACCAATTTCGAAATTTCTTATCAACGATTTGCAGTAGCAGTGCCGCAGTTAAAAATGATCCTTGCAGATGAAGACAGCTATTTATACAGACTCCGGACAATAAACCCACACCCACAATAAACAACCAGCAATTATAAACATTTTAAAAATGATTCATTTATTTAAGCCACAGTGGGTAAAGAAGAAACCCCTGGTGATTTATCAGGACAAGAAAATATTTTGTCTATTATTTTCTCTAGCTTGTACAGAAATGATTGATTATACATGTATTTCATTGTCATTTGTATTTGGTAAACTTTATGTAACAATTCAGTAGTCATGCTGCATGTAGTTGAAGGGAAGTTCAACACCCCTCTTTCCTTAAGTTACTTGTATCCTTAACATGATTAATCAATGCAATACAAATCTAATTTGTTGTAAGCTGAAGTTTATAAATGCCATAAAAATGTAGGAGTTACAAATAACATTTTTCTTTTTACTGGTCAAGGTAGCCTAGAAGTAGGGTGTTCACTTCGTGATCAGGTGGCCCCGGTTTGATTCTTGGCCACAGCACCAAGTTAAACCTAAATCATAAACATAGGTAGTGACTGTTCCTTCACCAAGCACTAGAAGTGAAAGTCCCGGGTCTCCTGGATGAGACCTTAAAAACCAAATTCTCATATCACATTAGGCGTTGGCACTTTAAAGAACCCTAACTGCTAAATGGCCCTGAGTGCCAAGTATAGGTCTAAATTTGAAGCCCTTCACCAGCATATGATGACATATCTCTATACAAGTGAAAATTTCTTGAATGGTACTTAAACAACATACAATCAATCAACTTTTTTTAAAACTTAGTCATGTTATTTACTAGTACCAAGGGCATTTGCATTAAGGGTATATTGTAAGGTAGTGTTATTTCATAACTCATAGACCATGTGTGTGATTTGTGTAACCCATTCAACAATTGAAAAAGTGGAAAATGAGGAAGGAAAATTGACACTGGCTGATTATTAAGTAATTAGGTAGTAATACATTTTGTGCATTTAGACAGGGACCTATTTACTGAGTATATTAGTAAACACACCCCTGATTTAGATAACTCTGAAAATTATGTTTTACAGCTAGCATATATATCAACATGTTAAAGGAGTTGCATTTTCAATGACATTTAATTACTCTAATCTTTCAACAAAAAAATGTGGTAAACATTCAAGTCAAAAATAAGCATACACTTATTTGGATTCAAATGAATCTAGCACATACAGAATCCCATATAAGCTAACTTAGTGTTCAAATTGTAAAATAAGGAACACAATTCAGAGGACAAGTCTTGCATTCTCATTTTAAATCAATCATGAAAAATTTCATCTACTTAAAAATCAACAAGACTGCAAAATGGCATATTTGTGTAAAATTGATTTTTTTTTTTATACTAGCAAGAATAAAGAACTTAATTAAGAATGAAGAGACTTTACCATAATTATTTGGGAGTCAAATATTTCATATAAATCATTTATTAAAGTTAACCTTCATTCATGTGATGGGTTTCACTTATGAACTCACAAGGTACGTTATTTGAAGTATAAATAACCACGGAAAAATATCCACGAAACAACAGAGAAGAATCAAGAACAAGAAATAGTTTAGCCCTCCCCCCCCCCCCTTTTGCAATTCACTTTTCGAAAATTTCTACTTACCCAACAGAATTCTCCTGTCCTTTAGACATAAATTTATCAATTAAACTTTGCAGCATAGACTTCTTATTGGACAGAAATTTTGTCACACTAAATGATGTATCAGACATTGTACTAGCTGGGCTCTGTTTTCTTATAATAAGGTCAAATTATGAATGAGTGGTCAGCTGATCACAACATTACTTATACTAATTAATTCAAAACGACGCCTTCCCAAGTCAATATTATTGCGCAATGAATGCTTTACATTGACAAATACATACCCATCCCCCATGACTGAAATTTATTGATTTCTGGGGAAAAAACCTAGCCGCTCCTTGTCAGTGTCGGTCAAAAAATATAAAAGCTAAAATATAAACTAAAACGGATATCGAACCCGATCAAAAAAGTTCGTTAGTTCACACTGATCGATGTCGAAACAAAAAACTTCTTATTCATTTATTTAATTGATCAATTATTTAAAAAATAAATAAATGAATAAGAAGTTTTTTGCCGTACGTAAGGAATTCCAGACACGTCAGCCAACTGGTTTACAAAGTTCTCTAAACTATAGTTAACATATGTTAATTATAGTTTACGGTTGTAAACTATAGTTTACAGATATTTAAAGCGCCGAATTCACAAAATTGTGATAAATATAGTTTTACAGTTGAGAAACACAGTTTAACGCCAGCATCTCTGATTTTGTATTGGAGATGCAAAATTTTCTGTAAAACTATATTTCACGACTCTAAAGTATAGTTTACGATCAAAACTATAGTTAACAATAGTTTAACGGTCCGAAAATTATAGATAGGTTAATCCTAGTTACAGCATGATAAGATTTTTGCTATACAACGATTATTTTCATTGGTTGTTAAATATATAATTTTATTTCTTGTTGACATTTTAAGTCATTCTATCATAATTTAAAGCAAATCTAGTTGGAAATAAAAAGAAAAATAACAGGAAAATTATTGAGTAAATTTTATTTATTTTTTATTTAAAGGAGAAAGATAGAGAAAATGCATTTTGACGGTTTGTAATCAAATTTTCCTTTAACAGCAACGGAATAAATCACTGACAATTATCCTTGCCGTCTTTCCAACCTTTTGCGCTGATCAAACAAATTGGCTGAGCATTGCTGGTATCAAAAGAGTTGCTGAACGCTTGACTTATAATTTTAAGATTATCAAGAATAGAAATTACTAAAGTAATTCTGTTTATATGGAGCGGGATTTATTTTCCGTTTTTTATATAGAGCTTACGGCAATGAACACATTTAGTATTGCTTCTCGCGATTGGTGCCGCGAGATTTTGAATTGAAAACATTTGATTCATAAACTATATTTAACAATTCTTAACTATAGTTTACTAGTAAACCCAAGAAATTCTCGAAGCACAGCACATGCGCAATGATTATAGTGTGGATTATAGATTATGACGATAAATTATGATTGGCAAATGTGAATCATGCATAGTTTATCACTCAAAACTATAGTTTACGATCGTTAAGTATAGTTTACGTCTGTCAAATATAGTTTATGAGTATTTATGACAGTTAACTATAGTTTACGACCGAAATCTATAATTAACGGATGTAAAACATAGCTTATCTGATAAATATAGTTTCACGATTTGTGAAACTATGATTAACAATTCTTAACTATGGTTAACGAATTTAAATTATACTTTACAAATGAGAATCTATATTTATCAGCAAAATTTACTGTTAACGTTTATTTACAGACAGATAAACTTAGATTAACATTCGTGAACTACACTTTACAAGCGTTAAATGAAAACAGATGAAAACTATAGTAAACGAATCGTAAACTATAGTTTACAGTTCGTAAACTACAGTTTACAATAGATAAACCTAGTTTATCTAATTTTTGTGAATTTGGCGTGCCATTGCTATGATAGATTTTTCATACATATAGTCTATTTATAGTCATATATAACGGTTTATAACACTACATTCACTGGAATTGATGCATCCTCACAATGTCAAGTGTGGAGTTCCGAAATCACAAAACCTTGACATTGTGAGGATGCCGTATTCACCGGAGGGTCAGTGCGCTTGCAGCGGCGATTGTGACGTCACAAATGACACATCAAGTAACGTTGTGAGTAATGGTTGCAAAGACCGAAGCCAACTGTATACTTGAGCAGGAAAAACGTTACTTACACGAGCCTATTATAATTCAGACATTTCGACGGGAAATGATGTCTTGCACACTAAAGAAAGGAAAATACTGAAGTTATAACTTTAATCTGGATATTCTTTTAATCTATCTGTGATAGAAATTCGTTAATTCGTTAATCTGAACTGCAAATCTGCAAATTTTGTCTACGGAATAGAATGTAACCTTTGTGGGCTTATTTATGTTGGTAAAACCAAGGACGATTCACTTCATAAAAGAATATCGGGTCACAGATTTCAAATCAACAACGGGGGCCAGCAGCTTCTCTACAAGCACTTTGATTTACCTGATCATTCTATTTTATCAATGAAAGTTAGAATTCTAGAAAAAATTTACCATCATACTAATAATCCATCATTGAGTACACCTTTCCGTAGATAACGAGAAGAATACTGGATTAGGAAACCCGATCCCGCCTCTAAATTTCGAGATTGTATACTGTGCGTTATTTTCATATTTCATTAATGAAAATGGTGTCACGAATGGAGCCTCAAAGTCTTAAATATTCCAATCCGGACTATATGATAAAACAGTTATGGACTCTTAAGAGTCCATAATTGAACAATATTTGCTTATTGTGTCATCTTTCAGGAATGAATTGGGTTAAGGGGTTAAATTGTCATATATACTACAAACTCTTATTAGGGTTCTGAACCAGTAATCTTGCATGGCCCTTTAATTTGCCACATGAATAATTATTTATTAAACCAAAATATTTCATAAAATCACAACAAAATTTTTACTTATGGATAAAGTTTACTTTGTAAAAGTGCAAGGTTATATGTCAATCATACACGTCCCGAAATTTGTTGTTTTAATAATTTACAGATAAAATAATTTTCTGAATATATTTCGGTGTGGTCTAGCAAAATACAAGTCATGATACTATACAGAAAATTTAATTTTTTTAAAAAGAAAATATGAGCTTCAAATTTGTGTCCCAGTCCCTTTAAGAATAAGATAGAAACAACATGTAATAAATGCAAGAATAATCATGGAAATAGCAGGAATGGATAAAACTATTATATACGATGTCTCTTTTGATTCACTGCTACTTCATGTAAATGAACAATTAGGTCTTCATCACATACGCACCAAACTTTATTCTGTTCCTAAAGTTTCTCTGTAACAGTTCCTCTGTAAAAATTTTAAATGATCTATTTGAAAAGACCAAGGAAAGTCCGTATTTGGATTCTTCGACACCAGAATGTAGGCGGGGGTTTATGATTATGGATATTGTGCATCACAGGCTTTTTAAAGCCGCCACGTTTTACGGAAGAGAATACTGTTCAAGAAACCCGTCTGTTCCTTAAACTTATTACCAACAAAGGAATTTACGCAGTAAAAATATAAGTTATATTTTTTATCACAAAATGATTCAGTTTTGTATTCCACCATATTTCAAGTTGAAGTCCATATCTTGTATTTCTTACTAAAATTCATCGACTATTGCTTCCAAACTTTTAATCCCCCCACCCCCCCCCCACCCCCACCAAAAAAACTAAGTGCCTAAATATCGCATATCTGAAGCATAATGCTCCTTCGTGTTCATGTTCTTCACCCTAAAACTTATAGTCCCGCTGGACACGTCATTCCTGGTGACGTGAAGTATAATTAACTAGACTATTCCAAGGAGTACATGTGCCGCCTGCTTTATAAAATCATTAAAGATAATAATAAATCGGAGGGTGGTCAGTTTTTTTTTTTTGGCTTCTATCATTATTACGATTTATAATGGCATAGAAAAAATCCACAAAATTAATATTAAGACCGATAAGGTCATTAATTGTTTAGCGCATCACTAAGGAAAATGGGCCGCGCAGCGTTTACTTCCACGACAGCATCCAACCACTTCTGTCCATATGATATCCCGAATTGTCTTCATTAGTCATCTGCAGACTTGGAGCCTCTGAGCTTTCATCTGACAACATCGAAGCCATGGTCATCTTTTGCAATGAGTGTCGAAAAAAGAAGATTGGCGATCAAGGCGAGCGAAATGCCTATAGTGAAGGTGAAAAACTAAATATCAGTTATAATATAATCTTGATATTTCATCTAACATTAAAATATACTTTATCAATATGTCTACAATTTGCAAAAATCTCACAAAGATTGAAATATTTGCCTATGAAATAGCATACACACACTAAAGAGGCAAAAAGGATCATTTTCATATATAATTTTTCGATATGAGTGGGTCTTCTCTCCATTTTTTTGAAAGTTTATCCTCAAAGCTTGTGTAAAAATATACATTTTTTGTTTAACAAAAACCTGGAGCAAAAACCCACTATACCTAAAAAATACATTTTATGACACAACATTCGCATCTTTCCGAGAAATACTTGAAGTCCATGTAGTCACATCATAAACATGATTTAAATGCCACTACTCGTCAGGAGTTATGAAGCACGATGTTTAGCGTGTTAGTCTCATGGGAAAATGATACTTGGGATTTTTATTGCTAGCTTGAGTTCGAAACCCACGAATACCATATTATATTTGTAATAACAGAATAACTTTTGCCTGGAAAGTTTTCCTCAGAAAAGTTTTGTTTACCATAATTTCACAAATTTCAATAAAGAGAACTTCACTCTAAATACTAAATTCACCAAATGAATATAATTCATATATCTGAAGATATAGGCATTCTGCACACCTTGTTCACCCATCTCCTTTTGCTATAGTACATGACTACTTGAATGATTGAGAGTTTCAACACTTTCGGAGTAACTGCGGATTGCACAAACGTCTTATTTTATGCAATATCACACAAAGACATGTAGATAAACATACACTTGATTAATCTTTTGTTATATCTCCCCAACATGAGGACGCAAGTTTGCATGGATCTTTGGTATAGCAGGTGATCAGGAATTGCTGAAGATGATTCTCATTCCAAAGAAATATGTAGCATTTGAAAGTTTTTTTTATTTTTTATTTTATTTTTTTTTTACATACCACTGACAGTTTTGACAATTTGTCGAGAAGTCTTGGGACTAATTTTAAGGGATAAATTATCTTAAAGGTTATTTAATTCTTTATTCGGTCTTTTAAGGTCAACGG